CAGCTGTAACCAGAAAGAATAGAGGGAGGGACCCACTTGAGACAGAGTGGTTAAGGAGCACCTAGATTGAGGTCTGAGGGGTGATTGCTGCCAAGAGTCAGAGACAAGCCCACCGTCCATGCAGAGGGACCATTAAGGGCAAAGCCCCAAGACAGGGGCCAGCCTGACATGGCTGAGGTGCAGACAGAAAGCCAGTGTGACTGCTGCATCACAGTGATGGTGGCAATGGGGGAGGGCAGTGGTGGGAGCTGATGCCGGGGCCAGACTGTAGCTTTCATAAGGAGTTTGTGTTCTGTTTTGATGGGAAGTCATTGGCAGTTTTAAAGAGGGCACCCAGTGGGAGTTTTGAAGAAATCTCTGTGGTTGCTCTGTGGAGAATAAATCCTAGGAGGGCCCAGGTGGCTACAGGGAGACCCTGGAAGAGGCTGGGGCAGCCATGCAGGCATGGGCTGAGAGTGGCTTGGACCTGGGTGGATGTGGGGATGGAGGAAAAGAACAAATTCAATTTGCCGGACTCAGAGATGCTGATTCACGCTAGCCCTGGTGGGAGAGCTTGATGTATAAACCAGTCAATGCATTTTTAATGAGCAATACAATCGTAGGCTAAGTGGATATTGACTCTCCTGGGCTCAGGAGAGTCTTCCTGCAGGCCACCCAGATGGCAAGCCACGGCATCTGAAGGCTGCTTACTGCCCCTAGAAGGTGAGCTGGGGGAGCCAGCCAGTGGTTGCAGCATTGAAGAGCATCAGATGCTGACAGCCTGCTGAGCTGGCCCCAGACTGGGCCAGGCAAGCAGGTCTGGACCTTCCCAGGCCCCTCTCCTCCAGACAGGGCTGGCGCGGGCCTTGTCAGCATTTACTTCTCTGGCTGACCTTTTCCTTTTATAAATCCTGTGCGTTGGGGTTTTCATATGTGAGTGTCATCAGTCAGGCTCTGCTGGCCCGTCTCTTCAGACGTCTCTCTCCATCTGCTCTGGGTGGGCACTTCGGAACTCCTGGTTCCCAGACCACTGCCTACGGCAGCTTCCCATTAATTGTAATCCTTGCTTGTAATTCCAGGCCCTTTCGGGGTTGTTTTATTAAGTACCCTCTCAGTGTTATTTTCCTGACGCTCCATCACCACCCTGAGAGGGAAGGGGGAGTGTTTCTGTTTTATAGATCGGGTGACCTAGGCTCAGAGAAGTGAAGTCACTTGCCCAGGGTCACAGAATGAGCTAGCGGTAGAGCTGGGCTTTGGGTCTCCCCCGTGCCTTGCTGCCCTGCACGGAGGGGCCCATGGGCTGCCTGTGTATGAAATTCCTGACCCCGGGCCTGGCCCGCAGTGGTGCTCGCTCAGCGATGCGAGTCGCGCCCTTTCCAGCAGAGGAACCCTTCTGACTTTTGCAAGGCTGCCTGCACCACCCCCAGCTCCCTCACGTCTCTCCGTGACTCCAACCTGCCCCTCCCACCAGGCTGTTTGGAGCTCACCTTTATGGGCTTCTTGTTCCAAGAAGTGAAGATGTCAAGGCCTCCTCCCTGTCCTCTGCACAGGCCTACCCGTTCCCATATCTGGGTGATTGCCCACATGGTGACTCAGCCCAAATGTCCTCCCTGCCATCACCTGTCTAGATCCTCCCTTTTTTCAAAACCTTACTCCTTACCCTCTACTCCCTATCCTGTAAGTCTTCTTTTCCAGCCCATACTCCTCATCACCAGGTCCTCAGTCTCCTAGAGGCTGAAGCATACACTGGCAGATCTAAGTCACATCCTGCCCAGGTGTGTAACAGTCTCCTGGGTGACCATCATCCCCCCACGTTGCAGTGAGCTCTGTAGGAACGAGCACGTGTTCCTCGGGTCCCCTATAGTGCCTGGCTGGCCTGGCCACCCAGCAGGCTTCATCAGAGCATGCTGACCTGGACCAGGGCGGAACTGTGCCCACGTGACTGGCTGTGGCAGAAGCCAGGCCACGCTTGGCTCCCTTGCTGTGCCCTGGTGAGAGAAGCATGCCGTTATCCCTGGACTTGTGCAATAAAGAAGGAGCTCATCATAGGCTTACAAAATAATAATGTTATTTTTCTTTTTAATTCATATATTTTTAAGTTTAAACAGCTTTTATTTATTTCTTGTCATCCCGGGCCATGTGAATTGAAAAATGTATTTTTTAACTTCTAATTTTTTTTAATCATTCAAGAAATCTCCAGCTGTAGTAGAAAAAATAACATTTGAACAGAAAGAAGAAAAAATAATCTGTACTCCCGCCAGCTAGGAATAACCACAGTCAGTGCTTTGCTGAATTTTCTGTAGCTGTAAGCGTGCATTAATCAAAATAGGGTCAATCTGTACGAACTGTTGTATGTCATGCTTTTTTCACTCGGATATTTTCCAGGATTTTTTGCATCATCTTTTTCACTCTCGATAAGCCATTGTTTATCTAACCAGCCCCTGGCCATGGGGTCTGTGGGTGGCTCGTGCCACCTCCTTGGCTTCCAGCCTGGGCCTGAGTGCTTTCTCTTCCGAGGAGATGCTGTTGGGGTTTTTCTGAGGCAGCAAAATGCAGTGGAAAGAGTAATGGACCCAGAGCTGGGATCTGGGGAGTCAGGAGGCTGGATGGGGAGGAGAGTGGGCGGGAGGGACCCGGGAAAACCTGTCTGAGGAAATGACTGTTACTCAAGTCTCTTTTGCTCTCTGGGTCTCACCTGTAAACGAAGAGGAGGAGATTGAATTATCTCTAAAATCTTCTAGCTCCTCTCATCTGTGGTTCTGCCAGCACCAGGCTGTCCCTGCCAGCAGGCTCTGCTGGAGACTTGGGCAGGGAGACACTGGGATATTTATTTAAGATAACTCTTCTGGCTATTTTCAAGAAGCTGCAGGCCCGGGGAAGATCTAGAGAGCAGGGGCTGACATCAGACAGAGGCCGAGGGGAGGCGTAGATGTGCTGGCACGTCAGGGCCCGGGAGGGTCATGTGGATTCTGCTTCTCACAGCACAAAACATACAGATTAGTCTGTGGATTTTTTTTTTTTGGAAGCAAAATTAAGCAGGCATTTATTTTAAGGGTTCTTCCCTTGAGGCCTTATCTAGCATAATGGCTGCTACCCTCCAGTGCAGGCTTAGAAGAAATCTGGAGCCAGGCAGCTACATCTCCACCTGAGCCCACGAGGCGGTGAGCTTCCCTGGAGCAGCTCCTGTTGCTTTGTGCTCTGGCACAGAGTCATCACTTAGTGTCATATAAGCGACGGAGAGGCTCTGTTTTAACTATGGCTTTAAGTTATACCCGTAAAGCCCAGGGTAATGACATGAGTGGAAAGCATTTCTGGGTGGGGATGAGACCATGTGGAGCAAGACCTTCCCTTCCTCCTCATCTTACTGTTTAAAGCAGCGTCAGTAACGACATACTGTCTGGTGTGCACTACGAGCTCCAGCTTACAAAGTGTTCCACTCAGTATCCACTCAGTGGGGATTTAGGTTGCTCGTGACCTGTCAACGGCCCTACAGTTCTTGGGTGACTGAGTTGGGTATTCAGGGCCCCTGACTTTCTGTACAGTGCCTCTTGCTTCGGGTGAGGCCAGTGGTCCCTAGAATGCAGAGGCAGAAACTGGGAAATAAAAGGGAGCCTGGGGCCGAGGCTTGAAGCATGTGCACAGCCCATCGTGCATCCAGTGTCTGCCTGTTTTTCTGCCCATCAGAGGCCCCCATGGCGGTTGGGGTGGCAGAGGGACCTGCCAGGTCTCAATTGGATTTTTCTCATGTAATATGACGGAGGAAGGCTCTCGACTCAGAGGTGAGGGTTCCTGCTCGCTTCTCTGTTTCCTGGTTTTAGCTTCAAACTTGTTTTTGAGGGGTTTTGGCCCATTACTGAACCCCCATCAGTGGAAACAAGCAAACAACTTGTGGGTTAAAAAATAGATATGTATTTTTAAAATTATACACGCAATTTACAAAGTGTATAAAGTTAAAAATGAAGTTCCCTTTCTTAACCTGTGGAACGCTCTTATTTTCCTCTCTCTACTTCTGAATTTTTCACCTCTCTCAACAGTTTGGTGAGTGTCCTTTCAGATCTTATACTACATGTGTGCAAACACAAAGATGTACTGTCGAGGTTATTGGTGTTTTTTTTGTTAATATAAAAATGGGACCATGCCATTCTCTCTCTCTCTCTCTCCTCGTCTCTCTTTGCAATTTGCTTATTCCAACAGAACAGCTGGGCAATAGGTCCTGATTCTCTGAAATCTCTTCATTTCCTGTTCCAAGGGGGAAATGATAAGAGTAGTCTGCTGCAGAGATAATTTCTGTCTAAGTCCTGTGCTTTTTGGATAAGTCCTAGTGAGATGAACTGGCTGCACATTTGTAGCTGACCTGGGGCCTGAGCCCAGGTCTCCTGACTTTTACATTATCGGGGCTGTGTGTTTTTTAAGAATCTCTTTCTGTCTTATCCATTTGGATCCATCCTGACAACATCCCCAGGAAGTAGTGGGGCAGGAGTTATTGAGGCCTGGGGCATGAAGAGCCTTGCCCAAAGTCAGTACCTACCGGAAGGGCTGGGAGCCCAAGGCTCTTTTTGGTTGAGTTCAGTTTATCCAACATTTATTGAGGGGCTACTGTGTGCCAGGTGCTGTGGTTGGAGAGACAGCCTGGCCAAGGGCCTGCCTGGAGGTGGTCACCGACTGTCCCTTGTGCTCTTGGCAGAGTAGGGCTCCCTGGAGAGACTCTCCCTGCCCCTAGGAAGTCCGTGATTCCAGACCCAGGGCAAGAGATTAGAGTCCCTGAGGAGCTCTCTGGGCACAAGGGTGGGTGGGGGTCTGTTGACCTTGGCTGCTGCCACTAACCCCTCACTTCTCATGACTCTCTCCCCACCCTCACTTCCTCTGTCTCTCCCTCCCTCCTCCTCCTCTCTGTGGCTCTTTGTCTATTTGTCTCCATCTGTCCCTCTCCGTATGTGGTTCCTGTTCCCCCTTGCTCTGTTCTGTCACACCATCGCTGCCCCTCTCCCCCATCACATGCTCTCTCCTTCCTGCCAATGCAGGCGTGCTGGTCACCATGACAACAGAGACAGGGCCTGACTCTGAGGTGAAGAAGGCTCAGGAGGAGGCCCCGCAGCAGCCAGAGGCAGCCGCCACAGCAGCCACCCCTGTGACCCCCGCCGTCCACGGCCATCCCGAGGCCAACTCCAATGAGAAACATCCGCCCCAGCAGGACGCTCAGCCTGCCGAACAGGTATGTGCCTGAGAGCATGGGCATCTCTCCTTCTGCCCAGCCAGTCCTCCAGGAGGGAGGAGAGACGAGAACTGAGATCCGTTATTGCCCCATTACATGCCAAGAACTCTGCTGGGGGTATCGTGTTCATTTTTATATTTAATTCTCCAAGACCTGAGAGGGTAACTGTTAATTTTCCCATTTGACATTTGGGGAAACCAAGCCTCAGCCAGATGAAGTGAGTTATCCGAAGTCACATTGCTATAAAGTGGCAGAAGTGCAAGTCAGATCTAGATCTGATTTTGAACATCTGTGTTCCTCCAACCTTATTTTCCTGTCCCCCAGGCCTGTCCATTCTAGCTTGGTGAGCCCAGTGTGACTCTAGTGCAAAATTCATCTCCCTAAAGAGACAAGGGCCGGGTGGGTATAGCTCAGTGGCAGAGCGCGTGCTTAGTTCAGCATGCACGAGGTCCTGGGTTCAATCCCCAGTACCTCCATTGGAAAAAAAAGAGAGAGAGACAAGGGACGCAGGGGTCATCAAGCTATGGAATTCACACCTTGCTTAATTCACAACAGGCCCAGAGAGGGCAGGCACTTGGCTGAGGTCATTGAGGGCGTCCATGGCAGAGATAGGACTAGTGGGCTGGGCTCTGACCTCCCTCCCCTCCATCAGATCCGTCCCAGCCTCGGACTGAACCCAGTGACAGACTGAGAAGGAGACTGTGCCCTGGGAACTCATGCACTGTTCTAGGGAGACGGGACAGCTCTGGCTGCAGGGAAGCAGTGAACCCCTTTCACGAGCTCACCCATCATACACAGGAGCTGTGGCTCTCCTCCTGTGCACACCCACCATAGACCCTGGTCCCCTGGGGGTCTTAAAGGGCTCTCATTTGGAGGTCTGTCTTAGCTCTAGCTGCTTCCTAATTGCGTCTCACTTGGATGAGAGGCTACAGTTTCAAGCTCACTGACCGAACCCTTCCCTTGGTCGGCCCTACAGAGCCTAGACATGGAGGAGAAGGACTACGGGGAGGCTGATGGCCTGTCAGAGAGGACCACGCCCAGCAAGGCCCAGAAATCACCCCAGAAGATTGCCAAGAAGTACAAGAGTGCCATCTGCAGAGTCACTCTGCTCGATGCCTCTGAATACGAGTGTGAGGTGGAGGTAAGGAGCACCCAGCGCCACAGGCCCCGTCCCTGGCTGATTGGCTGCAGCGCGGGGACAGGCCTTGTGTGCACGCAGCCTGGGCCAAGCCAGAGGGCATCCATTCTTCACGGAGTCCAGGACCGACTACCGCGTCCTGGGGAGATGACCTGGCCAGCCCTCCTGTGCACAGATGGTGGCACCAAGGCCGGGAGAGGGCTCTTAAGACTGCAGATAGAATTAGGCATGGGGCTGGCACCAGGAAAAGGTTTCTCAGGGTGGCTGTACCTTGGTGAGCAGCCACCGTCTCAAGGCTGAAAGTTCCATGGTAAGGTGTCCCCCAGTTATAGGGAGGTGGCCCATTGGAAGGCCGTGGAGAAACCCCATGGCATGGTTCTGTCCCACAGTGGATGGCAGGGCAGATGCCTCCCCTCTGTGGTGAGCCCTCCTGGTCCCACATTTAGTGTCTCCCTTTCTGGCATAGGCTAGAACTCCCACCCTACTTCTGAACTCTCATTCACCCCCTTAGAGGCTCTCCCCTAGTCTAGGCACCATTCCTGGCCCTGTCCACGTGAATGGAGGAGTCCAGAAGGTGACCTTACTGCTGAGAGTTGCAGGAGCCACCTCCCTTTCTCCCCCAAGCCCTGGTCTTAAGGGACTGACTGACTTCTGAGCCCTGGGAAACAGGATCCCTCTTTTTTGCAGGGTTGGCTTTTTTTAAATGTTTATTTCTTCCACAGAAGGGTTGCCTTCTCCTTGCCTGCTCCCGGGTGGAAGGAAGGGGTATCTTCTACCCCTTCTCTCCTACCCACACTGGCCCCAAGACACTGTTCCAGCTGCCCTAGAAGAGTGTGAGGGTTTGGCTGAGGCCACGCTCTCTGAAGGGCTCCTCCAAGCTCAGGAATCCCTTGGTTTCCCAGCTGCTCTCCACAGTCAGGCCCCAGCCCCTGGTGACCTAGCCAGACCTTGCAGGGACCTCACCTTCTCTCCAGAGTCCCCTGCCTCTTTGGGCATGACTGCTTCACACGCCCCTGCCCTGTGATCCCTTTATTGGTGCCCATCTTCACACCTGTGGGTTTGGGTGCCCAGCCAGGTCCTGGGCTTTGTCTTTCTGAATCCTCAGGCCCAGGTGGTGTTCAGAGAGGTACTGTGCCTGGAACAGTGCTCCTCCCAGCTGTGGCTGGTTTAGGCTCCGTGAGCCCCTGTGGGACTGCACATGCTGCCTGGGTAGGTGGCATCCCTTAGTGTAAGGGGAGGGGCCGGGGAGGAGAGTCGCACTGTGACCGGAGTCCCAGGTCCTTGCCTTCTGCCTGCCCACGTCCCTCATATTTCAGGCAACTCTTCTCTTCCTCTCACACTCAGAGGTTAGAGTTCTTTTTGTGTATGTGGTGGGGGGATGGTTAGGTTTGTTTGTTTGTTTGCTTGTTTGTTTGTTTGTTTATAGCGGAGGTAGTGGGAATTGAACCCAGGACTTCACGCATGCTAAGCATGCATTCTATCATCCTCCCTGAAGCTTAAACTTTCAGTTTTCTGCTACTTGGGTCCAGCTTAGCCTGTTTCTCTTAATCACTCTACGGGAAGGAGAAATCAGTCACTTCCCTACTCTAGTCCTGTTTCCCCTAAGCAGGTCTGAGTTCTAAGAGGACCCCAGTAGGGCTTGGAAGAAGACAGTTGATGAGCTGGGCCTTAGTGTCACCCCAGGATCCCTTAGGATCTAGAGAGCCAGGCGGGTGGCAGGAGTGCGAAGATCCCCTCCAGACACTGGAAGGCTCTTGCGGGTTTTCACGTGGTCCTGGTGGGGCCTGGGCCACCTCCTCGCCCCCCCTGAGGTGTGTTCCGGCCTCACAGGGCTCTGCTCTTCTCTTCAGAAACATGGCCGGGGCCAGGTGCTGTTTGACCTGGTCTGTGAGCACCTCAACCTCCTGGAGAAGGACTATTTTGGCCTGACCTTCTGTGATGCCGACAGCCAGAAGGTACCTGGGCTGGGGAGTGGGGCTGGCTGGAAAGAGCTCGTCCCTGAGGCCCCCGTTGGCCTGCCGTACCCCATGGCCTCCATCAGTCCTCATGTCTTCATTAGGCACCTGTGTTTGTGTTTGCACACCACCAAGGTTCAGCCAGCCCTGGTCCTCTCCAGTTCTCTGTCTCTGTCATGACAGTCCTTTCTTGGGGACCTCAGATCACCCCCAGATGGGTGTCTGGAGAGCCAGCACATGGCTTCCTGAGGGACCTGAGGCCCTTGTCCCCAGCGCCTTGGGAGGCTCCTGTCTGAGTTTCCTTGTTCCCACCAGACCCACTCAGCTGCATTTCCTGTTCCCCGTGTGGCCTCGGCAATGCCGAATCCAGGGCCCTGGGTCCCAAACCCTGTGTGAATCCAGCCCTTATTCCTTCACCACCCAGTCCCAAGGGAAAGGACTCAGACGGCTCAGCCAGGGAAGGGTGCTCCCTGCTAGGGGGCTGTTGACAGGCCATTTCAGGAGGTTTCTCTCTCCTAGCCCTACCCAAGTCCCCTCCTCTTCCTTCTAAAGAACCTTATCTTCTCCTACAGAACTGGCTGGACCCCTCCAAGGAAATCAAGAAGCAGATTCGGAGTGAGTGGCCTGCCGCGGTTGGAACGTGGTGGAAGGGTGGGCGGGGGCTCCAGGCCTCCAGGGCCCCGGTTTGTGCTGCAATCCCTACTTTGGGAAGTGCATTCAGACCCATGAGTTCATTCCTCTGCGTGGCAAATCTTGGGGGAAGGCGGGGTATTGTTTTATAGATGTGGAGCCTGAGGCCTGGACAAGAGGAATGACTGTCTAGAGTCACTTAGCAGGTTAGTAGAGGAATCACAAACATGTTCAGGATGTCAGCCTAGAAGGGACCTGCGGAGTCATCTAGGGCAAGGGGACAAACTGATGGCCTCAGAACAGCCACCCTTCCAGTCCAGGGCTGGTGCAGGCTTCAGTGAAATCAGTGACCCTTGACTCAGTGCAGAATCCTTGTCTGCAGAGCACACTCAGCCGCTGCCAACTGGTAGGAGTTAACATGTCAGGAGAGAGCTTGGCCCATCCCCGATCTTGGCTATCTCCTGTATTTGATGATGGGTGACTGAGGCCCAGAGAGAGGCAGTTATTCATCCAAGGCCACAGAGCGAGGTATTGGCTAAGCCAGGTCTTGAGCCCTGGCCTCCCAACACCATCCTGCACTCTTTTCAAGCCCTGGAGTGGAGACAGGTGAGTAGGCCAACAGCCTGTCTTTTCTGGCCCAGAGGAAAAAGGCATGTTGGGAGCGATGGGGCAGCCTTCGTATGGCAGAAGGGGAAAGTAGGTGGCCTCAGCTAGGGGGCATGAAATGGGCCGGGACTTGGAGCCTAGAGGCAGAGATGCCTCCATGCAGGGGCTCCTCCCCCTTGGCTGTGCTTGCGCTCCCTGGTCCCCTGGCTGGAAAGCTATAGCGGAGCCTGTTGCCATGACAGCAGGCAGCTGGGCCTAGGGAAGCCAGCTGACTCTGCAGGAGGGGGCTTGAGAGATTCTTCCTGTGGCTTCCTGTCAGTTGGAAATGAAGAGGCAGGCTGACAGACAGAGCCCCCTCCTCTGGGGCCAGTCAGGTCATAGGCCTGGGCTTCAGGCTGTCCCCAGGGGACCCAGCCCAGCTGGGAGGCCTGAAATAATCAGAACACCTACGGGTGGCTGAGAGTGTTGGAGAAGGGCCAGGACTTTGGAAAAGAGAAGCTGCCTCCAGCCCTTCATGACCCCAGGCAGGGAGTTGGTCCTTCTTGTTATCAAGGAGCAGGGCTACCTCCCTCAGCAGAGTCACAGTCTCTGTTCCTACTCCATGGATGGAATGTCCATCCATTCTTCCTGGTTCTGTCTTCTGGGGCCCCCATGGAGCAATTTTTTGCCCCCTTTCTTTATTTGTGACAGCTCCCAGCCTTCTGAAGGTAACACCACAAGTCCTTATGTCCTGGGCTCCAGAGTTGGGTGTATTTCCTCCCGAATCTCGGTGCCCATCATCTAGGGTGCTGGGGGCAATGCCTCCACCTCTCTGGATTCCTGTATCCCCTTAGCAAGTGGATTAGTGATTCCTGCCTCACAAGGTGGGAATGAAAGTTCAATGACGAGGGTGTGGACAGCAGCCAGCACATAGTAGGTGCTTCACATAGTAGGAGGAAATCTGGTGTGACAGTTAAAAGGACAGACACTGGAGTCAGGCTGCTTGGGTTTGAGTCCTGACTCCATCACTGCTTCTTGTGATATTTAGTTGTTCTGTGCCTCATCATCTGTAAAGTGGGGGTAACCCTCATCTTCAGGGTACTTATGAAGATTAAATGCACTGTTATGTGTACAACACCTAAAAGGTGCCTGCACACAGTAGGACCCAGTTTATAGTAGCCATTATTATTATTGTTTATTAATACCATTATTCTTGAGACAGGGAGTGTTTCCCCTCAAGGCTGCTTTTAAAACCCAAGGAGTCAGCTGTGGTCAGGAGCCTAAGTTGTGGGGTCATGTGACCAGAGGCTAGATCTCTGTTTTCTACTGCCGACTAGCTGGGTGACCTTGGGAGAATGATTTAACCTCCCCAAACCTTCATCTATAAGAAAGAAAGTCTACCTCAGGATCACTGTGAAGATTAAATCCCAGAAATGCATGTAAAGTTCTTAGCAAGCCAAGGGACCAGCACTTGGTAAGTGTTGGAGACATGACAGCTATGTGGTGAGGGTGGTGGGGACCCCAGGACAAGGATGGTAGTGATGGCATGGCCTCCAGCCCTTGGTGTCCACAGCCCTGCCCTGGATGGGCCTCTTTTTCTCACTTTGCTGGGGGCCCTTTTAGAGCACAGAGCCTTGTTCTGGATTATGGCCTTTCATCATGGCCTCCCCCCGCCCCCGCCTCCTTCCCTTTCTTAAGTGGTTATCCTTTCTCTTGGCTGGCAGAGCCTGTTTCCAGCTAAAACCTCAGCCTTTATTTTTCTCTACCTTTTAAATGTGTACCATTGATTTTTCATATCTGAATGAGGAGGTTAACATTACCCCTGTGAAATGTTCTTTGTTACTTTTAGCCCATTATATTTGCCTTTTAGGTCTTGTTTATAATCCAGTTCTGCCATCTAAGATGGAGTCAGCATCATATAGGGCAGCATTTTTTTCCAAAGTGTGTTCCGAGAAACATTAATCTGGAAGGATGCCCTGTGAAAATGGATGCAGCAGGTCAAATGGGTTTTGGAAACTCCTAAATGCCAGTCCCCCTCTGAGAGGTGCACTGCAGAGTGAGGGCTCTGAGAAGCCCAAAGTTAGGAAACCTGTTTAATGCGGTACTTTCCAGATTAGTTATCTTCCCATTAATGTCCTGTGGCACAGACTTTGGTGAAAAGGAAAGATCATGGGCTCTGGAGCTGGTGACCTGGGTCTGAACCCCAGCACTGTCACTTTTTAGCTGGTGACCTTGAACTGGCCGCTTTACTGCCTTGGCCTCACTGTCCTCATGTGCAAAATGGGGATAATCATAGGACGTCTAGGGCTGTTGTGAGGTTTAATTATGTGATGTTTGTAAAGTAACTAACAGCATGCCAGGCATGCAGTATTGGTTTTCTTTCTTTCTGCCTTCCTTCCCATGGCTAGTTCACAAGTCTTTTAACCTGGGCCTCGGTCTTCTCATCTGTCAAGTGGGAATAATGTTCCAGGCTCTCTGATTAGATTGTCTGAAGATTATAGTTATGGGAAGACTTTGAAAAATTGTCCATAGGACACCACCACTGGGGTGCTGGGGCCTCTCTGATCTTTCCCCAATCTTCTCTCAGGCAGCCCCTGGAATTTTGCCTTCACAGTCAAGTTCTACCCACCCGACCCTGCCCAGCTGACAGAAGACATCACAAGGTGAGGGCTGGGAAGGGTGCAGGGGGAGAGGGACAGGTCCCTGGCCCTGGGAGACATGAGGTGATATGTAGGTATACAATGCCAGTTGCAAACCCAGATGCCTACCGAGGCCAGGCAGACAGCATCCACAACGGAAGCCCACTCAGAGCGAGAGAAAGTGATGCAAACATGGTGGTCAATGTGGACTGGCCCTTGACTTCAGAGGGGGAGGTGTCACAGGGAGCAGTGGGGCTCACTGTGAGTCCACGAGGACAGATGCCATCTGAAGCAGCTGTTCCAGGTGGGAATCAGGACCGACTGTTGGAGTGAAGCTAGAGATCTGTAGAAAAACAACAGTTCTCAAATGCTGGCAACTAACTTAAACTTAAAAAAAACATGATGTGGGTCATCTCTGGATAGGATAAGCCAAACTCATCTGACAGCCGATGTGCTGGGTAGACCACTAGGTTTTGACTTTGGGGATAAGGAGGGATTAGAACATAGATGCCTTTGCAAGTGGGAGCTTGGTTCTGCATCCAGGCTGTGCACACGTCAGGCATGTGGGGGTCAGAGGAGGCGTGTGACTGCCCCGTGGAAGCAAGCCCAGGCTGCTGGCGTGAACATGGATTGTTTGTGCAGTCTCATTGTGCCTCAGGGCTGGAGGATGAGGAGGCTTGAAGATTAGAATAGGGTAGGAAGCATCCCTCAGGAAGAGAGCTTCCATGAGGCTCAACCTTCCTCTGGAATCCAAAACAGGGAGGGGCCTTTCTATTTATCAAAGCCCCTCCCAAAAAGGTAGTCTTACTTGGTGATATTCTATGGCCCTGTCATCCATGTGCTGGGCCCTCCATGCCCACCAACGGTAAGATGTGGGCTTGGAGTTATTCCTACTGCAGGAGAGGGAGCTGCTAAGCTAGCCTCTGTCTCCCACTGGGCCCCTCCTTAGTATCTGTGTGTTTAGCAGACCATGGACCACAGTCAAGATACCGACTCTGGCCTTGGGAGATAAAACAGATATCCCTGGAATAGATCAGACCTGAGGCCTTGCTCTAATCCCTGAGGTCAGCTTGGGGCAACAGCAAGGTCTAAACTTCATTCCCACAAGGTTCTGAGAGCTTTAGACCCATACAGCCCCCATCTCTCTGGTGGTGCCCACTGGACATCGGGCCTCTAGGGACACCAGGCGGGGAGTTAGCCCTGCCCAGTATGGATGGCCTCAGGGGATAGGGTGGTAGGTGCAGCTAATTTAGTCAAAAATATTTAGACTCCAAAGAAACTGGTCAAAATGATAGAGTGACTGAAATGAAAGACTGGCCAGTGTGTTTGGCAACAGTTTCTGAATTTGGAGACCTTTGAATGAGATGCCTGTGAGCCCACACTTGATGCCTGGGATGTTGGAGCTACTGCTGATTCTTGGCTCTGCCTTGGCTCTGAGCATGCAGTGAGGCTGCACGTGCTTTTTGCTGGAGCTTCAGTTCTGACTGCAAAATAATGTTGTAGAGGAGTAAAAATTATACTAAGTAAAAGCCGCTTAAAAGGCAAAGAAATAAGTAATTGAAAAAAATGGTGAAACATAGCAAAGTGGGCAAAGACATATTGCCAGCTGAGAATGAACTGGAACACTTTAAAAAAAATACACAATAACTGAAAAAGGAATAAAACATGGTTTGAAATGGTTTAAAAATTGTAAAATCATCCAAGTGTGCATTAAAGTTTTAAAAAATCATGGCCTAGTGGTTGGATGTATTTCTTTTAAACCAGTTTGGTTTTAGACAATTTAGAGCTGGAACCAGATAAAGTTTTGAGAAAATATTGGTGAACAGGTTTGTCTGGGCCATGTAATACAGTGCAGAGGTTAAAATGAATAAGGTCGAGTCACATGTGCTGACACAGGAAGGGCTCTATAGTTGGGTGTGAAAAAGCAAGCGAGCTATGTAGTCAGATGGAGCATCTGATAACATTTCCATGGTCAAAACACCATGAACCAAACCATATGCATTTCTGTGTGTCCATGGAGGGAAAAGGTCTAAACATCACAGGGGTAACAGAAGTGACCTCTGGGGGAAGGGATGAGGACTGAGAATGGACATTGAGAGGATCATCACCTCTAAAGTTTACCTTTTTTCACAGTAAGAGTGTATTTATTGTGTAATTGAAAATATGTGACATTTGGTGGAAGAAGATATAGCACAGTGGTAGAGTGCATGCTTAGCATGCACAAGGTCCTAGGTTCAATCCCCAGACCTCCAAAAAATATTTTTAAATTAGAAAGTACATGCATTAAAAAGAAAATGATCAAACCAACAAAATAGTTCTAAATTAGCTTGAAAATGAGTTAGAAATTGAAAAATGTTCCCACAGTAGGAAAAATCCCTCAAACTTAGAAATGAACAGAAACACTTAAAGTCGAGTGAAATGTTGCAAAACCGTCTTAAGGGCTATACCCAGATTATTAACACATGACATGCTGGTGTCCAGGAACATGCCTCTTCTACTGCGCCAGGTGCTGATCAGCTTGGTGCTTGGGGGCGTCTAGGGAGGGAGTGGGGCCCGCGCCCATGCCCGCTCCCCACTCTCTCCAGATACTACCTGTGCCTGCAGCTGCGGGCAGACATCATCACGGGCCGCCTGCCCTGCTCCTTCGTCACACACGCCCTGCTGGGCTCCTACGCCGTGCAGGCTGAGCTGGGCGACTATGACGCCGAGGAGCACGTGGGCAACTATGTCAGCGAGCTCCGCTTCGCCCCCAACCAGACCCGGGAGCTGGAAGAGAGGATCATGGAGCTGCACAAGACATACAGGTGAGAGGGCCCCGCCCAGGCCTTCCCTGGCTCCTCCGCCCTGCCCCGCCCTGCCCCGTTGGCCAGAACCTATCTGGCTAGACCCCCAGCAGCTGTGTTGTAGTAAGTGCCCCACCTCTGCCGCTAACGTGAAGTGTGTCTGAGAGCAAATCGTCTCCTCAAATGCGTGTGATGCTAACTAGCTATGCGGCCCTAAATGACATCTTGGGACCTCAGGTTCTTGAGCTCCTATATGGGTGTGATGATTCCCTGTCATTGGCCTCTGAGAATCAGTCTCTTTATTTGCCAATTGGAGATAATTATGACTATTATGTGTCCCTGGATAAGTGTCCTGATGTCTCAATCTTGGCATAAAGTTCAAGAGTTTACACTCTAAAGTCAGACAGCCTGGATTCACCTTTTGACTCTGCTGTTTTCTAAGCAGGTGCTCTCGGGCTGGATATTTCACTTTACTATGTTTTAGTTTCCTGATCTGTTCAATGTGGGCACTAATAAAACCTATGGCACAGGGTTCCTGAGGGGACTAAATAGCACATATTAGAGACACACTGCATGTTGACAATTATTGTTGTCCTTCGGTTTGAGAAGTTAAATAGTTGATTGTGCGATGGAAAGCACATCTTTCCAGGAGTTAGAAGTAATTAACTAGTTGTGTGATTATGGGCTGGCTATGTAACCAATCAGCCCCATTTCCCACCTGTATTTGTAAGGACTTAGATTATCCGTGTTTCTCAACTCCTGGTTTTTGGGGCAGGAGAATTCATTGTGCAGGATGTTTGGCATCCCTAGGCTCCAGGCATTAAATGCCCGTAACACCCTTGTATTTGTTGTTAGAACCAGTATGCATCCCCCGTTTCCAAATGCCTGCTGTGAGGGTGATACCCCCTCCTTGGGGGGACTTCTGGAACTAAATGGTCCTTTTAAGCTAGAAGTGCTTTGGGCTCTAAGTCCAGGCTTGTTAGGGAAACTCAATGTAATAAGTGATGTGAAGTGCAATGTGAACTGTAATGTGCAGTGCACATGGGACAGGGTGCGGTGATACTGTCTCACTGCTAATGAGGATGGAAGGAATGAGGAGGGTTGTATCCTGGGGGCTGCATCTGGAGAGAGACCCAGGGCCAGATGTGGAGAGATCCTGTACGTGGGGAAGAAAGCTTGCTGGGGTGTGATGGGACACTGGGTCCGTTGGCAGATGTGTCTCAGAGACTTGCACACCAACTCTGATCGCTTATTAACGGCTGCTCTCGTGTTGTGTTGAGTGGGATACTGAAACTGTACAACCTGCTAGCCGTGTCTGCCTGGGCTCTTTGTCATCCTTGTTGTAGGTAGCAACATAGATTAGGGATTCACAAGAGTTACAGTAATTCAGAGAAGGAAGTTCGGGTCAGTAGGGGCTAGAGAAATCCTATGGCCATCCCTTCAACTGTAATATCTCTTTGGGACTTAAAGCACATTGACATCTAGTGTCCGGGTATCCCGCACAGCAGCACAGGAAACTGAGGTCCAGAGGATATGAGACAGACATAAATGAAGTGGTTAGAGACACAAACCATGGAGCCGCATTGTCTGGATTCAAATCCTGACTTTGCTACTTAATAGCAAAGGTGTGTGCCCTTAGGGAAGTTACTCAACCTTTCTGTGCCACAGTTTCCTCATCTATGAAATGGGAAGAGTGATATCTACCTTCTAGACTTGTTATGAAGATTCAAATGACTTAGTACCTGTAAAGTGCTTGTATGTAGTACTCAATAAATGTTAGCTGTGACTAAGTGTAGTATACGGTTTCCTGGCAGCTGAGGCAAAGAGGAAACTTGATGAAATATGTAACTCTTTTATTTTTCAGAAAGCAGAATGTGCACCTGCTCCTCAAGGGAGATTAAGAGGTTTCTGATACAAAAGTCTGGGGAAAATATCTCATGTGGGTAATAATTTAGGAGCCCCTGGGTGATTATAATGAGCCATGTCACCCACAGTGATTTCACTGTCGTGGAGAAACAGAATTTATAGCTCACACTTAACCCAGTAGCAGAATGAGGCAAAAATCCTGACTCCCAGCTGAGCCCTTGAATGCTTCCTGGAGGAAGTAAGACTGGACCTGAGCTTTGGCAGGAGATGAGGGTGCAGTGGACCGAAGAGGGGCTGGGGGTGCACCGTCCTGCACTGGGACCAGTGGGAAGGGACTGGTGAGGCCCGGCCGCAGGCCCAGTCCAGAATGCTTGCCTCCCTAGGATCACAGGTTCCGATCGCGGCCACCTTCCACTGGCAAGACTCAGGCCTGGGCCTTTTCCACAGCCATCAGTAATCCCTTTCTTTCCCTTAGGGGCATGACCCCAGGAGAAGCAGAAATCCATTTCCTGGAGAATGCCAAGAAGCTTTCTATGTACGGAGTAGACCTGCACCATGCCAAGGTACCACTGGGGCCAGAGTTCCCCTAGTGTCTGGGGTGGGGGTGCCCCTGAGGCCTCAGTGTGCCAGACTCTCTGTTACCTCCAACCTGAAGCCATTTCTCGTCTCATTTCTTATTCTTTGAAGTTTCATAACCCTTTATTTTCCCATGACCTTTATTCTTTTCTCCTTGTATTTGTTTCTGAACCTGCCTGTGCCCCAACTAGATTGGGAGCATCACTAGGGAAAGGCCTAGGCCCTAACTTACTTCTGGCTAGGCCCTCGCACATGGCCTAGTGCTGCATATGTACCACTGACTGTTTGCAGGGGGAACAAATGATCGAGTGATTGACAACGAGACAATAAGCAGACAAGTGAGGGTGAATAAATGACAAAGAGAATGAATGGCTGGCTGGCTCTGTGAGGGAACAGTCAGAGGGCCTCCAGCATGGACGCTCAAACCCTGCTCCCGAGGGCTCATTACACGCAGAGCTCAGAGACAGGTCTCAGGGTGGGTGGCAGGCTGCCCCCGGGCATGGACCCCAGGCCATCATTCCATGGTCCCTTTTCACACAGGACTCTGAGGGCATCGACATCATGTTAGGAGTCTGTGCCAACGGCCTGCTTATCTACCGGGACCGGCTGAGAATCAACCGCTTCGCCTGGCCTAAGATTCTCAAGATCTCCTACAAGAGGAGTAACTTCTACATCAAGATCCGGCCTGGGGAGGTGAGCCTGCCTTGGGGACCCCTCCTCCTCACTGGAGTGGACTAGACTGGAGCGGACCCTGGCAGCTGGGCCTGGGATTTCTTCTGGCCCAGGCTACATGGATGGAGAGCTGAGTGCTGGGTGGGGAGACAGCCCTCTTTTGCTGGGGTTCTCTGCGTAGACTTCACACTTTAGGTACGTGCCTGTGCATATGCACACACTTACACACACTAGAGTGTATGTATATAGATAACCACATATATTACACAGATCAGTGAATTCTTGTCCATGTCCCTGTATTTGATTACATGTAGTACTCAGGTGTGTGCACATACAGAGATACACACGGACACATGACCACACACACATGCAAACATGAATACCTCCGCCCTCCACATCCCACCCATCAAAATGTCCATTTGGTTCTACCGCTGGAATAAATAGGAACCCATCTGCTTCTGTCCCTCCGACCACAGCACCAGCTCCATCTCTCCCCTGCGTCCCTACAATGTCCTTCTTGCTGGTCTCCCTGCCTCCATTGTCATCGCAGGCACCCTAGCTGCTAAAAAGAGCTTCTATGTCCTTCCATCAGATCATGTCAAACCCACCCAACTCCCAATCCTCATTTAAACCTTTCAGGAGCTCTCTTTAGCTCTTGGGCTCAAGTCCTAACTCCGGTCGCCCGCCTCTCCCCTACGTCTCTGCCCCGCGTGCATGTGCTCCAGCTCCTGTGGCCTTCTCTGAGATCCTTGAATAAACAAGCTCCTTCCTGCCCTAAGCCCTTTGCATTTGGTGTTCCCTCACCCTGAAATCCTCTGCCCCGCCTTCTTACGTAGCTTTCGTTCCTTTCCCATCCTTTAGCAGTCTGCTCAAAGATCACCTGTTCAGAGGGCATCCCCTGATGACCCCGGTGCCTGCTCAGGCATTCTCTGCCACATCACACATCTCTGTTCATTCCCTTCGTGCCCTTATCAGTATCTGAGATGAGCTTGTTTACTCATTTATTATCAGAGCTCCCCCCCTTCCCCGCTGAATCTTCTATCTTGGTCACCACAGTGTGTCTGTCACAGAGTGAGGGCTTAATACACCTGGTTGACTAAATACATGAATAAATGATCAAACAGGCCAGAATCACACAGGCCTAAGAAGAGGTTCAGAAAGGATGGACTAGTGGTGAGAGTGAGTCCAGGCCTTGCTTCTAACCAACCCTGCCTGGTTTTGCAGTACGAGCAGTTTGAGAGCACGATTGGCTTTAAGCTCCCAAATCACCGGTCGGCCAAGAGACTGTGGAAGGTCTGCATCGAGCACCACACGTTCTTCCGGTGAGCCTGTTGCTGGCGTGGGGTGACTGGGGCTAGGGCAGAAGCTATGGGTGGATGTGAGTGATGTCTCGGTTTTGTCGGTAGGAGGAGCTAGTAGGAACTCTAGGAAGGCCATCCCCCTCCTTTTTCCCCAGGTCTCTCCCTTTCTAGACTCCTTAGAGTTGTTGTAGCTGGTGGGACAGCGGGATGGAAAGGCCAGCTGTGGCCCACCCTTGGACCTGGCATTCCAGGTCTGATCCTCCTTCCTCACTCCATCCCTCCACTGCAGGCTGGTGTCCCCTGAGCCTCCACCCAAGGGCTTCTTGGTGATGGGCTCCAAGTTCCGGTATAGTGGGAGGACCCAGGCACAGACCCGCCAGGCCAGCGCCCTCATCGACCGGCCCGCGCCCTTCTTTGAGCGTTCCTCCAGCAAACGGTACACCATGTCCCGCAGCCTTGATGGAGGTACGCCCCAAACTGGAGGTGGAGGGACGAGTGTTGTTTAGAGGGAAGTAGGGGCATGCTGGGCAATGCAGAATGAGCACTGAATGAGTGGACACATCACAATTGATTTGCATCAGTCATGGTGGCTGAGACCACTGCTGCACCTGGTGACTCTCAGGTTGGTCCAGCCTACAGCATCACTCCCCCTGGGATGTGACACTGTCACTCTCTGGACTTCTCACAACCTTCCTGAGTTGTGGCTTTTTGGGGTCCCAGGTTCAGCCATATGGTTTTCTGGGCCCCCTGCCCAAGAAGCTTAGCAATTCACAGCTTTTCACCGTACTGGAGAATGGTCGATCGTGACTACAATGTGGAGCTGGTGATGCCTTCCCTGACCGGAGGCGGAGGAGTTGTTCTCAGTCCATTATGGGCTTCCACTGGGCTCTGGGCTGATTGACATCTCACCCCGTGGCACTTTCCCCTGTCCCCATTTCTGCTGAGTTGACAGGTGCTCTTGCTGTCAATGAGAATTGGCCCTGCGTAGCCCTGTATCAAGCAGACCAGGGCTTCTCAAAATGTGGTTTGCAGACCACCTGCATCAGAACCAGGATATGCACACGAGTTTATAGGAGAAGTTCAGAAGCTACATGGGGCAGAGGGGAGATTCAGAGTTTGGCAGATCTGAGTTCAGATCTCAACCTGTTGACACTTACCAGGTGCTCCCCATGGGAACACGGGAAGTGGTTCATAAATATCTGAAGAATGGGAGGCCTTGGGCAACTTAAGTCCCCTGTGCCTATTTCCTCTTCTGCAAAATAAATAATACCTACTTCACTGTGTTACAGGGAGAACGCAACAAGTAATGCCTCTGCAACACCCAAAACAGTTCCTGGCACATAGTAGGACTTTAATAAATTGTAGGACCAATAATAAGTTATTATTGCTTTTAGGTTTGTAGATGGTAGCTTGAAGGTAGGCAGTAGGGCCTTGAGTAGGGGACCAGTGGATGCTCCCAGAACACATTGGGGCCAGCCTCCAGGCAAGGCAACAAATGCTTTCTGAGTTTCAGACATGTGCCAGGCCTTGTGTTAGGTTCTGAGTATGGTTTTTAGAGTGAGTATAGCCCTTTCCTTTGAGAACCTCACCGAATAGTAGGTTCGTCAGCATTCAGTGTGATTCAAGCAATGGGAGAATTGTGTACAGAATACAGAGCAGCCCTGAGGAAAGAGGGTTTAATTCTGTCTAGGAGGGACAAAAAGGGCTTTGCAGAGAGGGTAACAACTGACAGGATCTTGAAGGATACCTAGGAGTTTGCCAAGTGATCAGAAGAGTGATGCTTTTCCTGTAGTAAGGAGCTGAGACCTGTCCCAGGACTCCCTCGCTGTGTTCTGAGGGCAGGCAGTTTTGCAGGGATCCATTTGGGGCAAAGAGGCTCCCTATTCCCCCTGAGTAGGCAAAGAGCTAAGAGCTGAGATTTAAGCAAAGGGAAAGGAGAACCTGTCCCTCTGTCCACCCTGCAGCTTCCATAATTATTCCAGGGGCTAAACGAGGCCCACATTGTGCAGGGCAGCAAAGATGGGCCCAGAGCAGGCAAAGCTCATCGTCCAGGAGGCCTGAGTCCTTATCCTGATTCATGGAAACGTTACCACTGGGGCCTTTCCCCCTTGAGGTCTCAATTTATCCTCTGTAAAATGGGGATAGTAATTCCCATCCCAGCCATCAACATGGAGTATTGTGTGTAGCGAATGAAATTATGTGCATAAGTGGGCAGTTTGCCAAGTGAATGTATATGAGTAAAAGGATAATTATTCTTTTAAAAAAAATCTATGCCAATCCCAAGGATCAACTGTGCTCTGGTCATTTTAAGTCGATATTTTCCAGCCATTTTTTCCACTGAGACACAATCCATGGGCATAGTCTGGGTTTTGTCCAGTGTCTGATGTAAAGTCTATATAATTCCATCCCTTTCCTTCCTACTCAGAAGAGGGCTCTGGAATGCCAGGGAGTGAGAAAGATGTCATTGCAGGAATCCCTTTGAATTCTCTCTATTTATAAAAAAGGCAAATCATTTGCAAACCTTAAGACTTTAGCTCTCAGTAATGAAAGCTAGTCTTACAATATCCATGTATTGCAAAATAGTGGTCAGGCAAGTACCTGCTACAACCACCACCACAAAACCAGCAACATTTGTGAGCCAACACTGGTGGAATTGGCTCACTCTGTGCCAGCCGCTTCTTCTCTTAGACACATTAGCTTATTTGTCCTTTCTCTCAGTTGTCTGAAGTAGGTACTGTTTGTAGATGAGGCAGCTGAGGCCCAGAGAGGTTGTGTAATTTACCCAAGGTCACACAGCCAATAAGAGATGGATTTGAGATTTGAACCCAGGCTCTAGTGCTGTAGAAATCAGGACGGGGCTTGGGGCTGGTGGCAACTCTGCCTCTCACTATCCGAGTGATGAGGGAAAGGCCACTTCCCTCTTCTGGGGACTGGCGCCTTATCCCCAGCATATCAGGGTTGTGGAAGTGTCTGCTCCACTCCAGGCATGGCTGGGCAGATGGTGGGCTGGCTCCCTGTCCCTGTGCCTGGGAGATGACTCACATGGCTGCCCGGCCATCTCTGCCCACTCCAGCAGAGTTCTCCCGCCCAGCCTCAGTCAGTGAGAACCACGACGCAGGACCTGACGGTGACAAGCGGGAGGAGGATGGCGAGTCTGGGGGGCGTCGGTCAGAGGCTGAGGAGGGAGAAGTCAGGACCCCCACCAAGATCAAGGATCTAAAGGTACGAGCCTGGCTTTCTTGTACCCTCTGACCTGGGGGTCAGGAGGCTGATCCTGGATCTAAACACCCTGCTGTGCAGTGCACTGTGAACAGGGCCTTGCCCTTGGGCCATGCTCAGAACCTGGACTCCCCAGGTGGGGGTGGGGCATGCTGCCACCCCGTTCCTTTCCCCTCCTTTTGCTTTCCTGGAAGGTCACTCCATCCATTGGTGGACTCTGGCCTCCTCTTGCTCCCTCCTAATTTGCCCCTTTGGCTATGATCTGGATCTGCACAGCCCCCTTTGTCCCCAGAGTATGATAGTGTCCTTGCAGGCCCTCACAAAGGTGATGTTCAAGTGTGTCCCCTGCTGCTGCCCCCCACCACTTCCCACGCTCTCCCCTGGGATGATGCATCTAGATGTGCAAACAGCCTGCACATGCACACATGGGTGTTTCCATGGTGCAGTCCCACCTCGGGAGCACAGGCCCCTGAACACACACGCTGACTGCACGACTCTCCAGACGCTTGGGTCCCATCTGCTGAGTGTGACTACCCGCCTTGCCTCCAGCCCTCCCGCCCCCTTCTTCGCCTTCCTGGGCTCTTGGCTTCACGCCCCACACCTTCTGACTACCTCGCTGCCCTGCTGGTGGCCCACCCAGCTTCCCAGAGTGCTCTGGGCTACCTGCTGGAGCAGGCCAGTTGCCGTATCTCTAATCCGTTTGCTCTACTGACCCTGCTGGTTCCTTTTCCTCCTCCCGGGCCCGCTAGCCGGAGCAGGAAACCACGCCGCGACACAAGCAGGAGGTACTGCATGGGGCCCGTCCCCGCCCACCCCCCTGTTCATTCCCCAGCTCACTGTCACCACCCTGCCGTCCATCCCAAGGTCATATCCCAGCACCATCTCAGCTTCCTAGCCATACTCCTCCCTCACCCAATCCCACCCATCATCACCCCTCCCCATGTTCAGTTCATCAGTGGATTCGACACCCACAACCATCCATTTGCCCCTCCCTCCACACCCTTCCCTCCCTCCACCTAGCTTCATACTCCACCTCTCCCCTCCACCCCATGCTTGCTTCCCACCTGCTGACCATCCCACCTGTGTCCCCCAGTTCTTCCAGGCCATCTGTGCTTTCATTGAGCTCATCCCCTCCCCACCCCCTCTACCCCAAACCCTTCCTTAGACTCCTCTCCTCCCCATACCACTGTCTGGCCATGCCTCCACCTCATCTGTGTCACCTGTGTCCCACTTAAGCTTCTTTGTATCTATTAGCAACCAGATGTGGGAGTGGGGGGGGGGTGTGGGGAGGGAAGAGCCCCAGAGCACGTCTGGATTCTCAGACCCCTGGTGCACCTCCCTCGGGTGGGGCCTCTGTGTCTCCAGCTCTGTCAGGAAAGCCTCCTCTCTTTCTTTCCCCTCCTTTTCCTCCTCCCATCTGTTGCTTCTCTCAGCTTCCGCCTCCTGTGTTAACCACTTCTTCCCTTCACATAGTCTCCAACTCTTCTTTTGAACCTTAACTGCAGGAGAAGTGGGTCTATTCTTGGGCTGCTGAGGGCAAGGCCAGGGGCTGGGGTGTAAAACGGGCCTGGCCTTGGAGTCTCGAGATGTGGGTTTCAACCCCAGTTCTTCCACTGACTCTTTGAGTCTTGGGAAAGCTCCCTCAGGCCCCAGACCCCTGTCTGCACAGCAAGGCAGCTGGACTAGGTTTCCCCCAGGCCCTTAACCTTCAAGGGTCCCAGGGCTCCACGGCTCCCTCCGGCCTTCGGGAACACGGTGCCCACAGAGCCAGTGCGGCACGTTCTGAAGGGAAGGTCACCAGCCACGTCTTGGGTCCATGGCAGCCCAAACCCACCCCCCCCCGTGCAAATTCTATCAGGGTTGACTTCTCAGACAGACGTCCTGCGGCAGCTCCACTCAGGAAGGGATGCAGGAGACACAGACAGGTGTCCAGAGGGAAAGAAGAGTTCAGTGGCATTGGGGTCCTTCCCAAGGTAACTTAGGAGTCAAGCATGGTTGATCTTTGGATGCCAGACATGAGCCCAGAGGAAGATTCTAGCCTTGTCCAAGGGCAAGCTTGCCTTCCAGGTAGTTGTTCCAGAATCACTGATCTGACTTTATAATGAACAGAGATTGTCTATTTTTTGTCCTCAATTTGAGGACATGAATCCTCAAACAGCCTTGTGGATCAGGGTCCTTGGGCTGCCGGCCCGCCTGCCCTGCCCCCAAAGTAGGCCCACCACTGCTGGCTCCTGTGCAAAGGCTGGTCCTCACTTGACCTAAGGGCAGATTACTCTCATACTGTACCCACCAGAGCTCAGACTTGGTGGTTTAATGGGGGTCACACCTATGACTCCAGCTATACCTGGCTCAGTTCTTGTGCCCAGCCTTGGGACTTACCCCTCTTCTTCCTGGTCTCTAATTCTAATCTTCCTGAACACCCCATAGAATCCTAGTTTTTCTGTCTGGCTGTGTCTCACCCTGCCTGCCCTTCAGGAGTTTGTACCCACAAGGGATCTGGAAGATGCTGGGTGATTAAGAAAGTAGTGGCTCACAGCAGAGAAGGCTGAATGTAATCTTTCCCTGGCCCTGGGTGTGGAGGCAGAGCACATTTTCCTGGATGTCCCTGGCTTTAGAAGGGCCCTGCAGGGCCTGAGCAATGGCACCTGTTGGGCTAGGAGGGTCTAAACTGGGGACCCTGCTAAGCACAGTGGTCCAAGTCTTGGCTAGAGGTAGGAACCAGGGAGTGGGCGAGAGCAGCCCAGTGGACAGAATTGGTGAGTTCTCCCTGTGTCTCGGTTGTAACCAGAGGGACATCACCTCTGTGCCTGACAAAGATGGGGCTCACAGCACTGAAGGGAACTTACCCAGACCTGTGGGATTTGGGTTAACTTAAGTATTCTAAGTCCAGGAGCCTGGAAAGGGATGGGGAGCATTACCATCTTCACCACACTTTGCATCCCCTTTTTGGAGCTGTTCCTCTGACACCTGACTGTCCTGTGTACCCCTAGTTCTTAGACAAGCCAGAGGACGTCTTGCTGAAGCATCAGGCGAGCATCAATGAGCTCAAGAGGACCTTGAAGGAACCCAACAGCAAACTGATCCACCGGGATCGAGACTGGGAGCGGGAGCGCAGGCTGCCCTCCTCGCCCGCCTCCCCCTCCCCCAAAGGCACCCCTGAGAAAGCCAACGAGGTAGGTCTCACCCTGAACCCCTCAACTGGGGTCTCGAGTAAAGACAGCGGGGAAGGTTGCTAGGTACCGACTTACTTTTACTCTCCACACCTACATGCTCCCCACCTCCCACTTGCTGCATAAGGTGGTGACGGGGAAGGGGCGGTGGGGTAAGCTGAAATCACTCAGTCTTGGAATCCTAGGCCCCAGGGATCACCTTGAAAACTCTAAAGACTCATGGTAGCTTGGTGTATTCCCCTTCCATCAGCCAGACTATGTTGGGGATGGGGCGCTGGTTAGAAAAGCAGGTTCCAGGGCCCCACCCACATCAGACTTACTGAGCCCTGGAACCAGCATTTTAAACAATTGCCACAGGTGATTCTCAAACACACTAAATTTTAAGAATCCTGGTAGTTTTGTTCAGTGACAAGACCCTTTCGTGCCTATTGTGAAAACAGAGAAGGGAGGAGTGTTCCTTCCTGGAAGGGTCCTCAGAGCCCACAGGAGGTGAAGAGACCCTCCAAGGAAGTCAGAGCTGCTCCTGTTTCTTCCAAAAAGGATCCCACATGACCTTTCAGAGTGGAAAGCATGGGGTGTTTTCTCAGTTGAAAAAGAGAGAGATAGGATCTTGAGAATTCCTGTGTTTGTAATGCCGAGCTGCTGGCTTTGGCACTGCTGAATCTTGGCACTGTTCACCCCGTTTATGCTCAGGTGTTTTCTCTCTAGTGCTGCTGCTTAGTGGTCTCACACCCATTTGAGGTCTAGCCTTCGGTGCCTGGCTCTGAGTTCTGGCTGCTCTGCCTGCTAGCTGGGTGCCTCTGAGCGTATTACTAATCCTGCCTGGGTCTCCATTAGGTAGAGATGATAAAAGTGTCTACTCCTAGGAATGTTATGAGTGCCCAATAAGATACAGCATGGAGGGGCCAGCTGAGGGCCTAGATGCTCAATATGAGTTACTTCTTGCCTCAGTTTGAGAGTCTTGGGACTCTCACACAGAAGGTTAATTTCAAATCAGAATCCTTTTTAAAGTTGGAAGGACCTTGGGAACCCACTTGGTTCAAGGTTATCATTTTACAGATGTGGCACAGAAGCTTAGGAAGGGGAAGGACTTGATCCATGTCCTGGCTGATAGAAGAGGGGCCCGAATCTGATTTTCTTATGTCCTAGGTCGTCATATTTGCTATTAAATCACAGCTGCCTGGGAGCAAGACTAAATCATGCAAAGAGTCAGTTGTGCGTGTGCTGCCCTCTAAAACTTTGAAACTTGGTGATGCAGCCGTGATCTAATAAGCAAGCATTTGATAGAGTCAGCACTCCCGTGGCCTCGACATGCGAGGCTGCTGTGGTAGCTCCCAGGCTGGTGATTCACAAAGTGAGGGATGCTTTTGGGGGGCCTTTAAGGCTGGTGCCATGGAAGGAGGGCAAATCCTTCACCCACTGAGGGCTTCTGTGGTTAATCCCTGGCACAATCAAGACCCTGAAGACCCTGGACCGGGCCATAGGGGCTGGTCTAGAGATTCAGTTACACATCCCCCTCCTCCTGCCCAGAGAGACGCTTGACCAGAGTGGCCTCTCTTCAGTCCTAAAGTGGGTGAGGTGGATGCAGAGGCTTTGGAAAGGGTGGAACTCCAGCTGAGAAGGGAATGCTGAGCCCTGGAGAGCTGGGCAGGCTCTGGAGAGTTGAGGTGCCCAGAATGGCCCGACTTGGGGCTGCCCCACCTGCTGGTGATAGCTGGGACTGCTAGAAGATGAGTTTTATCAAAGGTGGCCACTGTTCCACCTCTCATCCCCTCACTGCCCCTACAGACGTGTAGTCCATTACTGGAGAGAAGTCTGGCCAGGAGCTCATCGTGGAGCGCTGGACCATTTAACTGGCTTACAGGTCCCACTGGCATTTAGAGGCCCTTGAAGATTTGGGCGATGGGGAAGAGCAATAGCCAAGGACTGGACACCTCTCTGAGCCTTACTTGCCTAGTCAGCCTGTCTTAAAGGGGACTAAAATTGCCACTCCAGGGCGTTGTTGGGAAGGTCGAGTGAAACAATGGATATAAAAGCACTTTCTGAACTGGGAGGTGCTGAATAGTCATGGGGCCATTGCTGATGGTAACTAGAATCCTTGATCCAAATATGGGCCCTTGGGGGAGATCCTGCAAGGGTGTCAGAATTCCTCGTAGCTTTTCATACATTGCTGGGCCTCATCTGGGCCAAGGAGAAAGTGGTAGAATGGGGAACCCAAACTACAAGGAAGAGTTTCCATTTGCCAAAGCCAGATTTTCATTTTAAAAAGGGGCTGAGACCCAAACCTCAGGATTAAACCATTGCCTAAACCAAAGACACCCGGGGAAGACTGGGACTCAGAGTCCAAGTGATACAGCTACATACTTCTTGAATAAGAGTGGGCAGGCGCTGAGGAAAAGCCCAAGGTCAGGTGCTGGCTGACCTCCCTGAATGGCTCTGTGGGGAAGTCCCTTTCCATCTCGCCCCACAGCCCCCGCGGCGTGGCTCCTTCTTGACCTGATCCACAAACCCAAGGATGCGGGATTTACATAGCTGGGCTGTTTACGGACTCTGTGTGTCTGTGTCTCTCCTGCTTGCTCTCTCTCCCTCTCTGTCTCTCCTTCCCTTCCTCCCTCTTCCCCTCTCCTCCGGCCCTGGGCTTCCCCTGCAGTCCCAGAAGACCCAGGACACCTCTCAGCAGGACTTGGCACCTGAGCCTGGGACGGCCACAGGCTTGGAAGTGTTCACTCAGAAAAGCCTCGCAGCATCTCCTGAGGTTACTGTCGTCACCTCCCTGCCCACCAGAACTATCCTAATAGTCTTTAGAAAACCCTTTCTCTGGGCTGAGGCGGGTGGACGAGACTCTGCCATGCAGATGGAACCAGGGGGTAGCCCATGTTGTCCGTGTGCTGTGACAAGTCAGCGTCCCCCGTCCCAGGGATCCATAAAGGGCCAGCCCCTCCCTCATACGTGTTTTCTCAGGGAGGACAGAACTGAAACCATTCAAGGAAGACAGGACAGCCCGAGTTGTTTCTGGTTTAAAAAGGAGAGGCAGAAATGATCTCCCCTCAGGCCACGAGGAGGCAGGTGACCTAGAGGCAGGCTCTGACTTGGGATCAGTGGTCACGGCTCCTAAATGCCTTCTGCCCTGAGGTCTTGTCTCTATTCAGAAGTCTGAGTGAGGTCTAGCAGTTGCTCATTGGGGGATGGCCACCCATCCACCCTCTGCCTCCGTCTTCTATAAACTCCCCTTGGAGCTTGGGTCTCTCTGGGTCTCCAGGCAGGCAAAAGTGGGCGTCTTTCTCCAAGGAGCATCCTTGGGGTTATAGAGATGCTGGCCAGGCAAGCATTCTAAATGAGGAGGACATTGCTTCTGTGCCTAGGACTGCAGCAGGTCGAGGGCTCTTGGAACTCCCTGTGCTGGCCCTGCCCTGGGTGCCAGGTGGAATCCAAGCCCAGGGTTGGGGGCTGCATCCTCTCTGTCTTCTGGGACTTCACAGACTGTCAGGGTTGGAAGAGACCGACTGATCATCTGGGCGAAACTTCCTTCTCCCTGATGTCTGACCCTCGTCTGTTGGCATAGGGTGTGTGAGGGTGTATACCTTTCTCTGTTCCCGGAGAAGGATTCTGTAGCTGCTAGAAATGTGCTGAAACTGTAAGAGAGACATGAGTCAGCTACATAAGTGGTAAAACATAAATCCCATTTCTGCTCTGAAGTTTTCCTTAATGTAAAAATAAAACAAAACTAGGAGCACTCTCTCCAAGAGAAGTTGGACAGAAGTCAACAGCATCCCGAGGTTAGGGAAGCTGTGGTGCCTTGGATTACAGGCGTGCTCATAGAGCCAAGGACAGGTTATCTTGTCCTTGAGGGTGGGGGGGGCCCTACTTGAGGGATGAGGTAGGGCTCAACATGCACCCCTCACCAGCATCCCTGAAAATTGTCCATCCAGCCCCTTCCACAGGGGGGCTCTCGCTGTTCTTAAGAGCAGCCCATTTTGTCTTCAATCATCCATTGGGAAGTTTCCATATTGAATTATAGCCTGCCCTTCAGAGTCACCTACCTGTGGGACTCTCTCCCCAACCTGGCGCCCGCGGATCTACACTGCATCCTTCTTCAGGAAGGCCCTTCAGAGTTGAGCATCCCCCCATCCCACCACTCCCACTTTCTTCAGCACCTCCCAGGGCACTGTTTCTAGAGGGCTCCTCGTCCTGGACCCCCCGCCTTTGGGGGTCTCCTGTAAAGAGCAGGCCCCCAAATGTGACCCAGAACTCCAAGTGGTCCCTGAACAGCTCATAGTCAGCAGAACTTCCTGGCTGGAGATTTTCTTCCTGTCAGCTTGTGTAGGAACAGAATTAGCTCCTCTCCTGCTCCTAGCTTCTCTGTTTTGTAGCCTGTCTTGTTGCAATGGCCCCAGCTGACAGCAGGGGACACAAGAATGGCTGGGCAGGGGCTACCCTGACATCATCCACCCTGTGAATCAGGTCAGAGGGCCAGAGCTTTCCTCTTTTTGTTCACTCCTTTTTTCTCTTCAGGATTTTTGCTTGTTAAAAGCAGAGCCTCTTCTCTCTGGGAGCCTCAGTTTCCCCTTCTGAAATACGGGTAACAGGACCACCATCACAGGTCGCCATTTGGCTTACATTTAGTAACTTGGACAAAGGGCTGGCATTGCCTGGCAAGTAGTAACTAAATATAAGTACATGTTCTTTCTTCCCCCCTGTAGAATCTTTCTGTTCTGTGCCAGCTCCCACCCCACTCAACCTAGTTTTACGCTTCTAGTTTCTAGAGACTAGTTTCTAGTTAGACTTGCAACAGGAATGTTCCAGAAGGGGTCTCATGGACTGTATTTGGCCATCATTGCCAGGCTGACGATGTCAGTCCAGGCTGATATGGGTGTGGCTAAAGGCACCTGCTTCCTGAGAAGAAGAGAAAAGAGGGTTTTCCGGCTCTTGAAGCTCTTCTCCCTGGGGTGGTTCAAGTGCTATTGTCCCAAAGGCTTAACAACCTGAAGTAAAATCTCAGAAACCCAGACTTTGTCTGTGCCCTCCCGTTTCCCTTTAGCTCTCTTTCCTGTTGGCAAGATTCTCTTAATGCAGTTTGATTCCCTGACAGTCACGGCGATTTTGCTAAAATGGAGCGGGGGGAGTAGAGGTCAGGGGGTTTACGCTCCCTTGATCCTTCAGAATCCTTCAGATCTTCTGGGATCTGACAGACTCCTCACCAAGTCATAGCCTGAATTGAAGCCCAAGATTATGGAAACCTGCCCTCTCCTGTTGTCGGGGGCAATTTTAGCCCATCTTAACTGTGGAGTTTTTCCCAGTACTTGGAGTCGAGACTGAGTTCTAGGCCTGCCTTTGCTGCTGGCTCACTCTCTGACCTTGGTGCTTACCTTCCCCAGGCCTCAGTTTCCACATCTGTACCAGAAGTCGGAGCCATGGTTTCAAAGGAGGGAGGCACTTCAGGGCACTAGGGCAGCCCAGGCCTCCAAATTCAACAGGGCAGCCCTGTATTTGTGTTACTTATTGGAATTCTATTAAGACTTTGTGGGAAGAAAGAGTTCTGTGGTTGCAAGAAGATTAAAATCCCAATGGCCTTCTTGCTTTTCTAATGATTCTAGAAACCCATCCTTTCCTCCTAAGTGCCGTTTGGAGGACTCTAGGGGAGGTGGAGGGCTGTTTTGTTGACGGTTGACAGTGCTGTACTGTTGGTGCTTTTGACCAATGAGGATGCTTGGATCTTTAGATCTTTTTCTTTCATAATGTGTTATGGCCAGTTCTTTTCCACTCTTCCTGTGGATTTTGTTAGAATTCTCCAAGGACAGGCCTTGGCATTTGTTTCTTTGGGAATGAACCCTGCAGAGTTGAAGCTGTTAAACCATTTGGTGACTGGCCCTAACCTCACTGCTTGGTATTTTTGTTCTAATCTCTTTCCTTCCAATTAGCTCTTGCAGAAAGGTCCAGTTTCAGGCTGTGGCCTGTGTAACTTAACTCAGTGCTTCCCCTCAACTTGACATTAGATCACAATTGGGACCCATATTCCATAGGTAGTGAGGTGAGTCAGCAGGGATGTCAGGCATTCTTTTCCTGACTCAACCATCAACTGACTGTGACCTTGGGTAAGATACTGACTTCTGTTGGCCTCAGTCTACCCATTTGCACAATGAGGAGAATGGACTGGAGGATGACTTAGGAGTTCTTTTGTCTCTAGCAGTCAAAGATTCCATGTGATGTAAGCTACTTTCCTCTCTGACTCTGGCAGTTTTATTATTAAGAGAGGAAGAGGAGGAGTCCTGGACCATCCCTGCATCTCCAAGTCCCCATGCTTAACATGGGGAGGGCATGGGACCCCCATCCCACTTTACCATGTTAGGGTGGTGATTGAGGGGAGTCAGTAGATAATTTGTTGGGTCCCTTGATGGGAAGAGTAGCCTTGATGAGGCTGACCTGTGTTGTCATGCCTTCCTCTCTCCAGCTGGTTCTGGGGACAAGTTGACCTTTGGTGGTAAATTGGTCCCTTCTTGCAGAGGGAAAAAGTGACCCATTCTTCAGGTGCCTGACATTTCATGTTAACTTTTCTTGCTCCAATTGAAACACAGGGTTCAGAGCATTGGGTATTGATAGAAAGAGAGTACATTAGGCCAGAAGAACTCAGTCTCCTAAAAGTGACCACCATGCAGCAGGAAGAAGGTGAGGCAGGCCTCGCAGACATCCTTGCTGATGGCAGACTCTCCAAGGTAGACATCCTGGTGGACAAGTTCAGAGCTGAAGTGGCCACAGAAGAGATAGTAGGAGCCAGAAGAGCAAACACCCAGCGACAAGGAAGAATGATCGCAAGCCCGGAGGACTTCGAGTCAGTGTGGGAGGAAGGCACCTGGGTCAGGAAAGGCCAAGGAGGAGCTTCTCTGGCTGCAGGCGGCACGCTGGCCGAAAAGCTCTTGGAAGGCTTCCAGTTCAGGGTGAACCCTGGGGAGGCGACCATCAGGAAGCACTGGGTCTTCAGTGGTCAGCTGGAGGGCCAGACGGAGCAGAGGCAGGAGCTGGAGGAGTCCCAGACTTGCGGGAGACCCGCTGCCCCAGGGACCAGACCAGCGGAGACGGATGTCCCTTCTCCAGCCTCTGACACAGGAGGACTCCGGTCGTTTCTGCTGGATCCAGCTCACACAGAGGCCAGAGTCGACTCGAGCGATGAAACCGATACTTCCTTTGCGGAGAGGAGCTTCTATTTAAACAATGGGGAGAAAGATTCTGAAGACCAAGTCCTTCCTCCGCCCCTGGAGGAGAAAGAAGAGCACCTGGATGCTCCACCTGGACGTGAGCCCAGCCTGAAGCTCTGGGAGGAGCTCACAGAGAGCCCGGAGCCCAACTCCTTCAACCTACTGGGCTCTGCGGTCGCTGCTGACAGGGACAAGGACCTAGAGGGTGAGGCCCCCTCAGCTGCTGCAGAGGAAGGGGCAGGGGACCGCGGGAGACCAGATGACCTGGAGGCCTTTGTCAAGCAGCTTGGAAAGGGCCCTTCTCCAGCACTGATGTTGGCTGGGGACTGGGAAGAAGCCCAGTGCGGGGTGGAGGGAGAATTTACCCACCCAGCCCCCTCAGTAACTGCAGAGGGAGAGGTCCACAGGAGTGGAGACTTGATGGGAAAGGCTGAGAGAAGTCCTCCAGGAGGATGGAAGAACCACTCACCTCACAGAGGATGGGGCATGCGTCCGGACCCCCAAGCCTGTGCCCTTCCGTGGGCCATCCCTCCTAACGATGTCAGGAAGCCAGTGAAGCCAGACAGAGGCAATTTCCTGTCCAAAGAGAGGGGACCAGTTCACCCCCAAGCAGTAGAACCTGCAATGGAAGACAGCAAGGCCCCAGCATTTCTTCAGATGGAGGTGATCACCCCCCTCCCAGCGCCCCCTTGTCCCTTTGCGGCTCAGACGTCTCCAGAGGAAGCTTCTCCAACCCCAGCCCCTCATGGGTCAGGCGAGCCTTTGCAGCTCAGGGACTCCTTTGGAGAACAGGCTCCTCTATTTCTCAACCATACCCATCCTTCTAAAGAGAGCCCAGAGCCTAAGGACCGAGTAGAGCTGGTTGTGACATTGGACGGAGGTGAGCGCAGGGCCCCTCCTGTCGCCAGCAGAAAGCCCAGAGTTGTCCCCGAAGAAGCCGAGGGGTTAGTGTTTCCTTCAGGGAAGCAAAAAGAGATGACCTCTTTCCAGCATGGGGGTCAAGAGGGCTCCCTGGAAGATATTAGCAAGACCTCAGTGGCCAATAAAATTCGTATCTTTGAGACCCATGGAGCAGAAACTCTCAGGGCAAGTCAGGGTGAAACCAGAGCCTTTGCAAATGAGTTGTCTTCAGAAGCCTCCGCGGGGCAGGTCGAGCAGCAGCGGAATAAGCTTTTAGACCTGGGATTTGTCCAGTTCCAGCCCCCAGGGGACTTTGCTGTCCTCAAAGCCACACATTCCTCAGTGATGCCGCCAGCTACCAAACACTTCAGGGAGGACATTTCTACCACAGCCCCCCGGGAAGGATGCCTGGACGTCGAGCTCGTGTCTGCCAGTACAGGCTGCGAAGCTCCACTGGAGGAAGCTACTGGGGGAACTGGCCACGTGAGCCCCTACCCCCACCGCTGCCCCCCAGCCGGGGGAGCTGGCCGCATGCTGCGTAGCTCTTTAGAAGCATGTTTCCGTGGCCCTCGTCATTTCTGCGATCAGAGGCTGCTTGTCCATCCCTATGAGTTCTTTTCCCTAAACAAGCCTGAGTGTAGCCCAGGCAGAATGACGGGTTCATCTGCTTGACCCATGTTAGCTTAGCCACAAAGACCCTCGGCTTTCCATGTGACCTGGTGCCCGGAGGGTCACACAGCCCCGGCGGAGAAGGTGGCACCACCGCCAGCAAACTACACATTTGCTTTGCCTTGCTGCCCCCACCTGCTGGGTTCCTACCGTTTTGCTTGGCTTGTCCGACGATCTTCCTTCATCCTTTCCCTTCCCTGGTGCTCCTGCCCTGGGGAAGCTGACAGTCCAGAGGTTTCCATCCTTCACTTCTGGTTCCCTCTCGGTCCCAGTGCCAAGTTCCTTCCTGCCTCCTTAAGACTAACTATCTTCTCTAATCCAGAACACACCCGGAGATGCGGTCAGGCAAGAGAAGCGCGTCACCAGCTTAGCAGCCAACCCCCGGGAAAGGGGGCACACCTGAGATTCGCCAGCCCCTCGGGCCCTCAGGTCTCTGCAGCCCCTCGGTGCCCTGATGACCCGGTCATCCTCGCCTGGCCAGGGTGCATCGCTGCCTTCGTTCCCACCTGCTCTGGCAGCGCCTCTTGTGGCAGCTCAACTCTGGCTTGTCTGGAATGTGTCCTCACACCCCTCAACCTCCAAGAAACTGGCTGACTGGAGGCTTCGCTAGCAAGTGAAATCTCCAAGCACGCTGAGTCTCTAGAACCTGAAGCCAAGTACTTTAAAAATATTTGATGGGTGTTAGATTGGTCTTAAAAAGAGTGTCATCAAACAGCCAAAAATGTGTGTGATGTTTAATCCCTGACAGGCCAGTTGAGAGGTATGTATGTCGGACAAGAGTTGCTGGTTCCCCTCCAACACATCCTTGGCCTGCTGTTGTCAATTACACTGATGGGACCAGAACCTCCAGTCTGTGGCCTGCCCGCCGGTCCACTCATGGGGCTCAGGGTTGAAGCAATGTAGCACCCAGCTCCCAGGAATTACTGCACACGGTCCCCTTCTCTAGACGATGCTGACACCCCCTACAGAGACTCAGTGGAATTGACAAACTGTGTTGGCTTCCTCTTTGTTCCTCAAAGCTCTTGGCTCCAGCCTCTCTGCCTCCCCGTCCTGGATGTCCCTGCATCCCTGGGTCTCCCTCCTTGGTTTTTGTCTCTCGATATCCCCCTGCACGGATGGGCTTGGGGTCCCATCCCTGCCTTGTGCACAGTGCCGCTTCTGATAAGCTCCCAGATCCAAACCTTGGATGGGGCTTCCTGTCCAGGACCAACTGGCAGGATGTTTGCTTTGTACTTGCTTTTGCCATCAGCGGGAGACCCTTGGAAAGGAGCGTTCTCACTCTTGAGTAGTTTTCTTTCTTTCTTTCTTTCTTTTTTTTTTAAAGCTTTTAATGATGTCAAGGAACATTTCCGGGGGTGTTTTTCTTTTCCTGACCTGCTCTTCCATTTGGGGCATCGAAGGGCCCCAAGATTTCTTCTGTCATTCACCATCTTGATTTCTCTCTCTCTCTCTCCTCTTCCCCACCCCATATCCCTATTCCTTTGATTTTATCTGGCCATAGAGAGCAGGGCTGAGGGAGGGCTCCGAGGAGAAAATCAAACCGCCACGTCCCAGGGCCCCAGAGAGTGACACGGGAGACGAGGACCAGGACCAGGAGAGGGACGCGGTGTTCCTGAAGGACAACCACCTGGCCATTGAGCGTAAGTGCTCCAGCATCACAGTCAGCTCCACGTCCAGCCTGGAGGCCGAGGTCGACTTCACGGTCATTGGTGACTACCACGGCAGCGCCTTCGACGACTTCTCCCGCAGCCTGCCTGAGCTCGACCGAGACAAAAGCGACTCAGAAACCGAGGGCCTGGTGTTCTCCCGGGATCTCAACAAAGGGGGCCCCGGCCAGGATGACGAGTCTGGGGGCTTCGAGGACAGCCCGGATCGAGGGGCCTGCTCCACCCCGGATATGCCCCAGTTCGAGGTACAGTGGAGCATCATCGGGACGCGGGCCCACCGGGCGCTGCATGTTCAGAGGGCCCTGGGCCACGTATGAGAAGATTGAGCTGCCAGCCTGAAGCTCTATTTCATATTGCATGACCGCCCCTCTGCAGAACAGCATGGTTCTGTGCTCGCATGTTTGGCAGCTCGGTTTACCCCTAACCTGCGCTCCTGTGACTTTAACCCCGTGACCCCTTCGCTTGCCTGAGGTCGGGTGATGACAGGCAGTCTGGTGCTACTCGACTCCTCCCCTGCCCATGTTGCATGGCACCTGCAGGGACCATGTGCGTGTGAACTCAAGGGGGCGCCCAAGGCCTGCCCTGAAAGTCAGATGGTTTTTCCTAATCCTCAACAGGGGCTCCTCTCCCAGGGTGCCTAGGGTCTCGGGGTAGCAGTGGAAACTCTTAGAGAAGAGAAAACATCATCGCTGAGAGGGACTCAGGGATAGACTGTGTCCTGGCCTCTCTGCTCTGGGTCCTTCCCTCAGAGGATCTCTGCTCGTGTTACTCCTTTGCTGTCTCATCTCCAGCCCCAGCTCCCTCCCACCACCTCTGCTTTCCCCCATGGTCCAGGCATTGACATACGAGCTCATTCACTGTGGGCTTTCACACCATGTTGTACTCTCTGGAGAAGGTTTTTCCTTCCTTCCTCGGCCTTGCAAACTTCTCTGCCTTGGAAACTTGTTATGGTCCAGGACCAAGTTCAGATAGCACTTAACTAGCAAATGCTTTCCTGCCCCCCGGGGGCACAAGTATTGCTCCCTGCTCAGCCTTCTTGCTCTGCGATGCTTCTGCTCCCAGCATTGTCACAAGTAGTCAGGTTAGTGGCTGATGGCTCTGCTGTCCTACCCCATGGCAGCTCCACTAAGCCTGCACGTACCAGGCGCTAATAATGATTACTTGAATGAATGGCTAGATCTCAGGATTAAAACCATCTGGAAGAATCCCCTCTTACCACCCTCCCCAGCAGATGACAAGCTGGCTTTCGTTCATTCATTCACATATGTTAATTACCTGCTGTGTGTATAGCCATGAACTAGGTCTGATGGAAGACTCAGAAGAAACTGATCATTTAACTTCAGACTTCTGGAATAGAGGTTGTAAACTGGTGGCCCTGGGCCACATCTGGCTAGGAATGTGTTTTCTTTGAGCTTGATTTAAAAATCAGGGCATTGAATATAAAATCCAGGGTTTTTTATATCATTAAAAAAATCAGATGATCAGTCACTCAGAGGCCATGGCCACAGTTCACCAAACCTGTGTGGACCGTCTGTGCTCTCCAGTTCACCTCCGACCTCAGCACACCCACTTCACTTGTTTACATCTCCTTCCTGGCCCTCTGGGCCTCCAGGTGTGTGACTCCTGTTCTAAAGAACAATTCAAATAAAGCAGCTGGGAGGTGGTGGCATGACCACTGAAGTCATTCAGGATTACGTATATAGGAAAAGGCCTGGTGTCGGGCCCAGCACAGAGCGTATTTGACTGAGTGGTACGTGTTCTCCTAATGGTAGCCTGAAAACCAGCATGCAGGTTGCGTGGTTGCCGGGTCATGGATGGTTCTGGCTGTCCTCTTAGGCTGTTGTCTGTGACATCACATCATGCCTCTTTTGCCCTGGCCTGTGTTCTCCTCCAGAGACTTGGCCAGCTGCAGGGGTGGAAGATAACCTGCTGACCCTACATCACCGTCGCCTGTGGGCAGGAGTCATGCCAGGGCTTGAGATACAGAGTGTTCTTCCCTCATTTCCCTACAGCCGGTGAAAACAGAAACCATGACTGTCAGCAGCCTGGCCATCAGGAAGAAGATCGAGCCAGAGGCTGTACTACAGACCAGAGTCACCACTGTGGACACCACCCAGGTAACCTGGGTCTTCCAACATGCTCTGAGCATAGGTATTGGGCATTTGAGGGTGGATTTCCCACCATGGCCAAGCCCCTTAGCCAACCCTTGCCACCTTGGCTCCCCAAGAGCCACCAATTTAACCCTGATGCTCTTCTGAGCTTAATTGTCCTCCCTGAACTCTGGGGTCAGGTGATGGGACGGTTCTTGTCCTGGGCAGACTACAGTTCTTAAAGCCTCAGTTTTCCCATCTATGAAATGGGGATGATCACATCTCCCTCATCCTCCTGGGAGTGTTATAAAGACTAGCAGTTGGTGGATTAGACCAGGCTTTCAGATTGCTTGAAGGAGTTGGAGAGATTTCTTGAGCTATCCCAGGGGCTGCTTTGGGAGAGGAGAGAGATCCCAATTCAGCTTTAGTCAGAACAACTTACGTTGGGCCAGTTTTTTTGTGCATGGTGGTTCCACATCAGATTGACAAATGAACAAACTAGAAAAAAAAAAGTCATTTGTCTTAGCGAGACGAAATAGACTCAGTACCCCAGAGAAAGCAGTCATAAATAGAGACAGGTACATTACTTATAGTGCATTTTGTAAGTTCCTTTTGTGGTTTTTAAGCTTTGAAAATTGAGGCTGAGGGTCTGATAGATGCCCTCATGGTTCTTTCTGGCCAGAGGAACTGCAGTTCGAGGGGCTTTCTTGCCCTGGAGAACAGTCGTTGTCTCAAGAACTAAAGTAAGATGTAAACCTACACAACGTGGGCAACTCTGTCATTTCCAGAATTTTTTCTCCTACTTTTATAATGTGCATAGAGGTTTACGAGGCAGCGAACGCAGCCATCAAGACTCTTGAGTTCTGAGAAGCTGTGTAACCCCGGGCTACCTGCTCCCTTTCTGGCCTGCTTTGTTTTAGTAATGTGTGTTGGTTTTGTTTTTATACAAAGAAATATAAAGAAAACTAAAAACGGCCCCAAATTCTCCAGCTCAGTAACCCTTATTGACATCAATACAAAATAACAAAATATTCACAGTTATGAAATTCAGACAGAACAAAATGAAAACTTTCTTGTGATTCCTCCCAGAAAAACATGTATGTGTATATTAACATATGTACTTACATCTCTAGATATTAAATTTTTTACCAAAAGAGATCATTTTCTCTCCTTGTTGGCATATATGGTCCCATTTTCCTCTTCTTGGTCCCATTTTTCTCTTCTTATTCCCACATAGGAGTGGATCCTAATTTATCACACATTTATCTCCCATCAATGGGCATGTTTTTGTCTTTTGCAGTTAATTTTGAATGCTCCAGTGAACTTTTTTGTTCTGACTTCTTGGCAAAGTGTTCAAAGTCTGTCTCCAAAGGGTGTATTCCTAGTAATGGGATCACTAGGTCAAAGAATACATGTGTTGAGCTTTGCATAGAATTTATCAAATTATCTGGGATTATTTTTCCTTTGTCGAATGAGGTGATCGAAATGAACTGGAGGACCTGTGAGGCCCCTTTGTAGTTTGGTCTGTGTGTGGACATCCCCCCTCCCCAGGTGCGTGTCTGCTCACACCACCTGTCACTTTGTAACTGGGAATGCCCAGAGCCCAGGCGAGAGATGCTGCAGGTGTACCCGGCACTCTCTCCCTCTCTAACAACTCCTCCTCTGGCCGCAGGTTGATGGGACTGCCCTAGGTGGGAAGGAGTTCATAACAACTACTCCCTCCATCACCACAGAGACCATATCAACCACCATGGTAAGTAGGACCCAAAAGACTTCCCTCTCTGACCAGCCCCCTTGCCCTTGAAACAGCCAGATAGCAAGCCAACACCGCCAGCTGTTGCGGGAAGTCCTCATCTGCCTTTGCTGCATGGGGCATGGGGCATACAGTCACACATTCATTGCCTGGCACATAGTCAGACCTCAGTTTTCCAAATTGAATAATGTGGGAGGTGGCGTCCTTGAGTCTCAGTTACCTGGACCATCTCAGCTATGGCAGGGATAAAGAGAGAATGATACCCTTTGATTATCTGATTATTGGCAGCACAGGAAGACTGTGCCTGAAAGTCCTTCCTGAATGAGGTCCATCCTCTGGGCAGCTGTTCGTTTTCTCGTGTCCCAAGCCATTTCCTTGTCTTGGCCAGTAGATGGCGTGCGGTGAACCTAAATTGGAAGCTCAGGATTTGGGCTTGTCTCCTGAGGAACCTTGTGGTTCTGCTGCCTATTTGTTGTTTGACCCATGAAGGAAGGTCCTTGGCCTTAGGCATCCTATCTGTAAAATGGGAATACACCCCATTCTGCCTGGTTCACGGGCTCTTGAGAGAGTCCAGTAACATCAGATTCTTGAACGATGACGCACCACAGCTAGTGCTCAGCACACAGGTTGTGGCACCCGGCGAGGCGCTGAGAACCTAGAAGGTGTGAGCTCAAGGAGTAGAATGAGAACTGGGAGGTGGATGCTCTCTTTTCTCCACCCTTTACAGATGAGGAAAATGAAATTCAGAGAGGTAAAGGGACTTACCCAAGGCCACACAACCAATACGTGGTAGAGCCAGGTCAAACCCAGGCATTCTGACTCCAGAAGCCCCACTGTCTGCCTCCACCGCTCTGCTCTGCTCCCTCATCCTGACCATTGTGAACAGCGGCCGCATGGGGCTGGGCCTGGGGATGGGGCTGGGCAGCTATCAGTGCCTGGGCCGAATCTGTCTTGAGCTGGGGGAGATTGTTTTCAAATGCTTTCTCTTGCCAAACCCCTGATATGCACATAGGAAGAAAATTACGTTAATTTAGACTACCCAGCAGGAAGGTTTTGAGTAAACAGAGATTTTAAGATAAGTAAACCCAAACCAGTTACTAGCTTACACACTTGCCCTCGATCACTCAGTTCCTCCTCTGCCCTCAACCCATCACCGCGTGGCATCAGGATGCTTATTGGGCTAAATGTAAATTCGTACCATGGTGAGCAGGCAGTTACATCATTCATTTACTCATCCATCCATCCATCCATCCATCCATCCATTTGTTCCAAAAACATTTATGCGTCTCCGTACTGCCAAGTACGGGGGTATAGATTTGAAGGAAAGATACTGCTTGTTAGAATTCATTCGTCTAAATAATAATCATGGGCACATCTAATGTGCTGTGCCCTTGTGTTCAGGTCCTGGGCACACGGTGGTGAACAAGGCCCAGCTCTCCCACTTCCTGGCTGGATGACCTTGGGCAAGTTATCCGAAACTCTCCAGACCTCAGTTTCCACCTCTGTCAAATGGGGTGAGGGGCTATAATAGCATATCCCTCAAAGGGCTGATGTGAGGCTGAACTCAGGTTGTCTATGCAAAGCCCTTAGAAAAGTGCCCGGTACACAGTAAGTGGTCTGTAAATGAGCTGCCGTGAGTTTTTCCTGCCTTCATGAAACAGTGTAATGACGCTTTCCTAGGGAGCACAGGGTGTGAGGCAGCCTCGTAGGAGCCGGGGAAGGCTTTATCTAGGCAGTGACATCTGAGCTGTGCTTGAAGGATCAATGAAGGTGCAATCATGGGAGGAGGTCTTCTAAGCCTTGGGAACAGCGGGTGTAAAGGCTAGGATATGAAGGAGGTTGCATTTGGGGAAAGGAAGTGGTCAGTGATGGCAGGTGCGTGGAGGGGGAGCCAGGGGAGAAGACGCTGGAAAGGAAGACTGAGCCAGGGCTTGAAGGGCCACCAATGTCGTGTACAAAGTTCAAACTCATCCTGGAGACCATAGAGAATCACTTCAATGTTTTCAGTAGGGACATGATGTTATCAAATATGTGTTTCTATGTTTTAGAGAGATTACTCTAGCAACCTGTGTGGAACATGACTGGAGCAAAACTTCCTTCCCTTGGAGGCATAGGTCCCTCTTTCCCCTCCTTCTTGTCCTTCTTTTCTCCTTCCTTCAGTAAATATTTATTGAACACCCACAATTTGTGAAGCGCTGTGCCAGACACTGTGAATCCAGCACTGAGGGAGACAGACAGCATCCCTGAGCCCACACTCAACTGGGAGAGACCAAAAGAGAAGGCAGGGAACTAGTTTAGGGGCTGGAACAGGGCTGGAGCACGAGGAGGTGGATGCCCATGAGGGCAACAGTGTTGAAGGGTGCCTGGAGGGAGGAAAGTACGGGATTTGGTTATTGATAGAATGTTCAGGTAATGGGACGAGAGGTGGCCAGGGACTCTGCTCACCAGCCCCGCTGTTCTCAGAGTGCAGTCCTGGGAGCCTGTTCAAACAGAAATTGTCAGGCCCCACCCCAGACCTATTGACTCAAAAGCCCTGGGGCAGGGCCCAGTGGCTCTGTTTCCACAAGCCCTCCAGGTGACACCTCTCTGGTGGGAGAAGCACTGACAAGCACCGAGGAGGGCACTTTTTAGTGGCACGTATGTGTCAGGGGTCAGGGGAGGCAGCAAACTCCATTTTGGATCTGATGAGTCTGAGGCGCCCATGGAACATCTCCAGGGGAAAATGTCTAGGATGCAAATGGTCTGAAAGGTCTAGAGTTCAAGAGAGATCTGAGCTACATGTAAAGGACAGTGGCCTTGATGAGGCAGTGGAAGCCTTGGGTGGCTAAGGAGGCCCCGAGAGAGGGTGGCGAGGAGAGCCCTTAGTTGGTGGAGGAAGGGTCCGAAGCAGAGATGGTGGTGTGGCCTTGGCCAGGGATGGGGGCCGCTCCTCCTTGAGGTGGGAGAGGGGACTGGAAGGTACAGGAGAGGCAGGCCGAGCAGCTGGGACCTTGTTTTGAACAACCTGTGGCCTCTGTTTTCAGTGTGAAGGTGGAGGTAAGGCTTTGCCTGGGAAAGAGGGATCAGTGGGAGAAGAAGAGGCTTTAGGGGAGAAAGGCCTGAAATGACAGTAGAGTTCAGAGGGGCTAGTGGCTGTTTTTGAAGCTGGGAGAGAGAAAGCATTGAGCTCAGAAGGCTGCTCTTTAGAGGCCACTGCCGGGCCACATCCTGGGACTCCCTCTGAGAAAGTGCCTTGTGATTGGAGTGCCAGGTAACAGGTCACTGACAGCCTCAGCTGGAGACAGATGTCCAGGGGAATGGGGTGAAGGCAGAGGGCCTCTGTCCTCACCCGTCCCTGGCGGGCAGAGGCCCAGATCTAGTACCAAGTACAGGCCAAGACAGGGTTCAGCCCACTGGGGAGCTGCAGAATGGACACAGCTTTGGGCCCCTGGTCAAGGCTGAGCCCTCAGATGGTACAGGAAGTGGGAGGTGGAGGCAGGGGGCTGTGGTCCAGTAAGTCCAGGGTCAATTCCAGGAACTTCTAGCGATTAAACTCCAAGATCACACCAGGAGAGCTGGCTCAAGGATGAGAGTTCTAAGGGCAGAGTGGCGTTGCAGAAGGAGTGGTTACAGAAAGAGTGTGTTGAATTTGGGGCTCTGATGAACTTGGGTCTAAATCCAGGCTCTATCACTAACTTGCAGGGGGACTTGGACAAGCCGCTTAACATCCTCTCGCCCTCCACTTTTTCAGCTGTGAAAGAGAAAGATTAAACCAATTTCCCGTGGTCGTTCAGAGGCATAAACGAGCTCATGCATCCTTAGCATAATACCTAGCCCATAGAAAGTACTCAGAAAACTAGTTGTGATGTTGTTAGTAGCCAGCCTGTATTCCTGTATTTGCTCTGCAGATATCTGCAAAGCCCTTTCTCCTCTGTGAGCCTTATAAAGTCTCTGTGAGAGTGACAGGGGTTCCCCTTTAAAAAAATTCTTTAAGCCTTTATTTTTTCAGAGAAGTTTTAAGTTTACAGCAAAATTAAGAGGAGGGCACAGAGATTTCCCATACATTCCCTGCCCCCCTCCTCACACACATAGCCCCCGCCCCACTGTTATCAACACCCCCCACCAGAGTGGGACATTTGTTACCCCTGTGCCCTGCAGGGTCCCCTTTGTGTGGGTGGATCCACGAGGCCCATAGAGTGGAAGTGGCTCTGCCCCGGGTCACATGGCTGGAACGTGGCAGGGCCAGGACGAGGACCCGTCTCACCTCCTTTGTTAGTGCTTCCAGGGAGCAACACCATGTCTTGTTCACCACGGTGTCTCTAACACCAGGCAGTCGGTAAACATGTGTTGAATGAATGGGTGTGTGACTAAGTGTGTAAGTGCGTATGTGAGCGAGCAAGTGGGCGAGTGATGAACCAGAGAAGACCAAACTGAACGATGCCTTCAGTTCTCTGCTTCTAGCATCGCTATTCAACCTTGTGGCCATGAGAGCTATGTGGCCACAGGCTCTGGTCATCCTGGGGGCCCGCCCACCTGAGACCTGGCCATCTGAGCACTATTGTTTCCCCAGGAGAACAGTCTCAAGTCCGGGAAGGGGGCAGCTGCCATGATCCCAGGCCCACAGACGGTGGCCACGGAAATCCGTTCTCTTTCTCCGGTAAGTGGGCAGGGCCAGCTCAGGCTAGGGGATTCCACACAGAGAATGTGGACGCGGTTCCACAGGTAGCTCACAGCAGGTGTGGCAGGGAGCCTAAAACCACCCCTTTAAATGCAGCAGCAGGAAATAGCATCAGATTCGGATGCCCATGGGGCTCCCTGGTCCCCACCAGAGTCTCTTCCATTGCCCTCCGTACCCCCCACACATACACACACAAGCAGGGCCATGGCAGTGTGGGGTGAAGTGGCTCCTCACTTTGGTGGTGCCTGTGGTGTGACAGCTCTTTTGCACCTGCTCTCCTTACTGACCAGGAGGAGCAATGGACTCATAGTCCAGAGGCTTGGATTCTGGACCTGGCTCTGTCAGTGGCTGCCTCACCGACCTGTCACTGCGAGGTCTCCTGCAGCTCCTGCAGCTCCTAGTCTGTCCTCCTTATCATCTAACCTCAGAAAGAGCGTGTTCCCGGCCCTGACAGGGTGGGCGATCAGGAGGGCTCCGTTTCCACCTGGATCCCTCTATTTCATCCTTCTAAGATGCCAGGATTCTTAAATTCTATAGTCTTGTTAGGATTCTGGACCTCAGGAATCTCAGGTTCTAGGAATCTTAGATTCCATGGTTTGAGAATTTCGTGGGTCTTGTATTCTGAAGGTTCCAATATTCCTGAATTCTTAAGACTCAGTGGTTCAAAGCATCTTGGTTTCCAAACTTTGCCTTCATGGGAGCCCCCATCATCCCTTGGTTTACCCCACCCCCACCCCCATTGTGCAGAGCCCAGCGTCCTCACCTGACCCCAGGGTGGGGGGTGGTTATATTCTGCAGATCATCGGGAAAGATGTCCTCACCAGCACCTACGGCGCCACTGCGGAAACCCTCTCCACCTCCACCACCACCCATGTTACCAAAGTGAGTAGCAGCAGGGCACCATATGCCCCCAGCCTGGCTGTGGGGCTCGGGAAGGTCATTGCCATGGCTCTGCCTTGTATGCGTGGACAGAGAAGACCTGTGGTGTTCCCAGTTTCTGGAGTGCTTTGTTCTGTGCTATGGGTCATCCTAAGGCACTGACCTGCCCTTCAACATTGATAGCCAGGCTTGGGGACGAGACCATCTCCTGGGATGTAGTTGTGAACCCTGGTGTTTGCGTCTTATAGATCTTCAGTGCTGGAGGGATTTAGAAGGGGGAGATTTAAGGAAGGTTCAAAGAATGAGGAAGGGTCTTCTGGAAAAAGTGGGATTGTATAGGGTCTTGGAAATCCATGGGAGGGCTTGTGAAGGAGAAGACAGACGCAGACGTTCTAAGCAGCGTGGAAGATGGGAGCAGAAACTGTGTGTGTTCATTTCTTTCACCGAGCAAATAGCGACTTTATGCTGACCTCTGTGCTAAGGGTGGCCAGACGGGGGCGCTGTAAACAACGCATGTGGGGAAACAGGACAAGCAGCAGGTAGGGGACAGAACTGTGGGAAATTAGGTTGGACTGGAGGCAGGAAAGCAGAATAGAGACAAATGAGACAAATCTCAAGACAAACAGAGGATCTGAGTCTGAAGGCCATTGGAGAGCCATCAAGGTTTTTAAAATGGGGAGCGACCCAGCAAAAAGGGGTTTAAAGAGAGGAGGTTAGGTCCACCAGAATGTGCAGATGGGAGAAAGAAGAGAGTTACCTAGAGACTAAGGATGGAGGACCTGCAGCAGGGGGCGGGGAGGAAGAGTCCGGGCCAGAGGAGGGAGGCGTTCCTGACGGTCAGCTGTAACTTAGCCAATGAGGACAGAGGACTGAGGACAGGCTGGCCAATGTGTCCATGTGCCTGAGTGGCCAGGAGGCAGGCAGGAGGCGGCCCAGGGCGGGGATGGAGGCCTGGAGGAGAGAGGCCAGGGAGCCAGGATAAGTTGGAGCTTTTACTCAAGCATTAAAGGAGAAGTCTGGTAGGCAGCACACAGACCGTCCCAGCCCTGCCCGCTCCCCTGCAGCACGTTACCCAGAAAGCACCCACTCCCACCAAAGGCATCAGTGAGCAATGATGACTCCACTGAAAGCTTTGTGGGCAGGTTTTCCATCACACAGATAACTCTTCTTCCCAAAGTCCCTCCCAGCCCTGCCAACTGGGAGCCCCCCCTCTTTTTTCTGTCCACTCCCGACTCCATCTGGTGTTTCCCTCAGCCACCATGCTCCTTTAATATACCAAGTCATTAGGTCCTGCCCCATCTTCTACTTCTAAACTCACACCCAAGCCCCACCCCTTTGGAAAACATGATGGTTATAAGCATATTTATAAGACTCAGCAATGCAATTTTCTCTTCTAGTATTGTTTGAAATCATTTAAAGTAGAACTTTGTCACCATTCACATTCCATTCATGTGTTCATTCAACAAATCTGCATTTAGCACCTGTCCTGATCAGGTTGGACAGGGGAGTTGGGGAGGAGGGGATCCAGAGGTGCACGGATTACAGCCCCTGCCCTTGCCCCAGCCGAGGGAGCAAGGCCACACACAAGGTCACACACACAAGGTCAGCTCAAGGCAGAGAGGCCCAGAACGGTGCGAGATACGAACTTGCCGCTTGGAGAGTACCGAGGCAGGAAGACAGAGGGACTGCTCACCAGGGTCAGGGCGACAGCATTTGAGCCAGGCTTGAAAGACCTAGAGGGGGCGGCTTGGTAGCTGGGGGAAGGGTGGCAGCCAGGCAAGATGTACAGTCTGAAATCCCAAAATCAGAAAAGGAGAAAACTGAGGGAGCCTGGAGAGAAGACAACTGCTGGCTCCAGCTTCGCCCCAGAGGGAGGCTTGGCACAGGCCCCATGTTGAGGCTGCTGCCCCAGCAGGACCCAAGGCTGACCCCATCTCCCTCTCCCTCTGCAGACTGTGAAAGGAGGGTTTTCTGAGACGAGGATCGAGAAGCGGATCATCATTACTGGGGACGAAGATGTCGATCAAGACCAGGTATGAGGATGGGAACCCTAGTGCCCAGTGGCACTGCCCAGTCCTCAGACCCTCCCAAATAGGGTTACTCATGGGCAGCTTCATTCAAGAGCAGAAAAGGTGTCTACTTCCTGCCAACCCTGTGCAGCGGAGAAACCCCCAAGGAAGGGACACTGAATGGGAGCCAGCAGGAGCCAGAAGACCTGAACCCTAGCCTCACTCTTTAACTCCTTGACCACTGCCCCTTCCCGGGCCCCAGCTTCCTGAGCTGTGCGCTGACAAGCTTGTAGGTCTCCAGAGCCGCTCCCGCAGTCAGTGTGCTCTGGTTCTCACTTTGCTTTTCCTCTCCTCTAGGCCCTGGCTTTGGCCATCAAGGAGGCCAAACTTCAGCATCCTGACATGCTGGTAACCAAAGCTGTCGTATATAGAGAAACAGACCCATCCCCGGAGGAGAGGGACAAGAAGCCACAGGTAAGGCCCATGGAGCTCAGCAGCCGTGAGAGGGAGGAGAGAGCAGTGGCAAGGTCCTCCCAGGGTCATTTCCATCTGAGGACCCACCAAGAGTCTTGGTCCCCAGCATGGCTTTGACCCCCCCCCAAACCTATAATAATAAAATTTCACAGACATTGAGTTGAGTGAAATAAGTCCGACACAAAAAGTACATACAGTGTGAGTCCATTCATAGGAAGTTCAGAAACAGGCAAAACTAATCAGCAACAATCAACATCTAAATATTGGTTACTTCTGGGGTGTGGCATTGACAGGAAAGAGTCACAAGGGAACATTCCACAGGGCTAGATGTGTCAGCATCTTGACCTGGGAGGGTTACATGGGTCTGTATGTGTATAAAAAAGTGTCAGGCCCCACACTTAGGTTTGTGTACTTTATGTGCTTCGCACGTTATACCTCAGTGAAAGGTAAATCCATTTCAAAGACCCCTTTCTGCCCTCTTCCTTTTTTTTTCAAACGCTTTTTTATTGAGTTATAGTCATTTTACAATGTTGTGTGAAATTCCGGTGTACAGCACAATTTTTCAGTTATACGTGAACATACATATATTCATTGTCACTTTCTTTTTTGCTGTGAGCTACCACAAGATCTTGTATATATTTCCCTGTGCTATACAGTATAATCTTGTTTATCTATTCTACATATGCCTGTCAATATCTACAAATTTTGAAATCCCATTCTGTCCCTTCCCACCCCCTGCCCCCTTGGCAACCACAAGTTTGTATTCTGTGTATATGAGTCTGTTTCTGTTTTGTATTTATGTTCCTTTTTTTTTTTAAGTTTCCATATTTGAACGATCTCCTATGGTATTTTTCTTTCTCTTTCTGGCTTACTTCGCTTAGAATGACATTCTCCAGGAACATCCATGTTGCTGTAAATGGTGTTATGTTGTCGGTTTTTGTGGCTGAATAGTATTCCATTGTATAAATATACCACATCTTCTTTATCCAGTCGTCTGTTGATGGACATTTAGGCTGTTTCCATGTCTTGGCTATTGTAAATAGTGCTGCTATGAACATTGGGGTGCAGGTGTCTTTTTGAAGTAGGGTTCCTTCTGGATATATGCCCAGGAGCAGGATTACTGGGTCATATAGTAAGTCTATTCCTAGTCTTTTGAGGAATCTTCATACTGTTTTCCACAGTGACTGCACTGAACTGTACTCCCACCAGCAGTGTAGGTCTGCCCTCTTCCTTGATGAGTGAAACAAATGTTTTCTAGAAAGCTACAAGAATGTTTCTTTCTCATCTTCTGATCACCTCCCACTTTGAGTCAAAAGAAAAAGCACTGAAACATTTTCCTGCCACTTTGAAAGGCTGCCAACCCCAGGTCTAGACCAGCGCTGTCCAGTAGAACTTTCTGCAATGATGGAAGTGGTTTTCTGTGCTGTGCAACATAGGAGCCACTGGCCACATGTGGCTGTTGAACATTTGAAATTGGCTAATCTGAAATGAGATGTGCCTTAAGGGTAAAATATGTGCTGGACTTTGAAGGTCATGTATGGAAAAAAGAGTATAAAATAGCTCAGTAATTTTTATATTGATTACATGTTAAATGACGATGTTTGGATATATTCGGTTAAAAATACATTATTAAAATTAATTTCACCTGTTTCTTTTTAGTGTTTTTAATGTAAATTAAAAAGTTAGAATTTTAATTTAGAGTTAAAATTTTCTGTTTATCTGGCAAATTTTAGAAAACTAGAAATACCTTGAAAATTTAGAAAATCTATGTGTCTAGAAAATCTGTGATCTAAAACATTTTAAATTCCAACTGTGGCTCACTTTCTGTTTCTGTTGGACAGCACTGGTCTAGAAGATGTGTAAGCTGATCATGGACAGAGCATACTTCCCAGCCTTCCTCACACTTGCATGTAAATTGTCACTCCTGTCCCCTCAGTTGTCCAGTCCAATTATTCTTGCTTTTTGCTGCCCAGATCTCAGAGTGGTAGAGTGCAGATCACTTGCCAAGCTGGGAGTGAGCCAGCAGTGTCACCTGGGGAATACAGATACTAGAGAGCTATTGCCATAAAGTCCAACTTAGAAGCGCTGGGCGGGCCCTGGGGATCTTCATTTATACCTTGGTCCTTAGGAAATGCATGTGCACCCAGGCGTAGAAGCCAGTGATGCAAAGAACTCTGTGCTGGGTATCGGGACCTGACTCCAATCCCAATCTTCCTGCTGACCAGCTGTGTGGCCACTGGGGTCTCAGTTTCCTCATTTGCAAAATGAAGAGATGGGACAAGCCCGTTCCAGTTATATATAGTCATCTGGCTGTTTATTTGCTTTCCTAGAGTGTCTGTTGTGTGCTTCTCACATCTTCATTCCCTGTCTCACTCCTCCTTGTCTCTCCCAGGGCATCCCAGCCAGCACCCCCGGCTCCTGCCTTCCCATGTTTCCTGACCATTCGGAGCTCTCGTTCCAGCCTCCTGCCCACCCCACGCAGTCTTTCACATCTGCCCACCTCGCTACTCCCTTTGCCATCTCATTCCCTCCTCCTTGTCCTTCTTTTAGTTCTTTCTTTGCTACCATTGTACCACGTATCACTGCACACACCCTGTCTCTTTTGGATCCTTCTGTAAAGTTCCCCTTGTTATGTTGCCCTGGAGAGGCAGAAGTTTCTCCTTTGCCTTTTCTGCCCACCTGCTTTGCCATTAGTTATCACCAAGTAGGAACCACCTCTGTCTCTTAATATAGTCAGACTCGCTAATTCTGGGGCAGAGGTCCTCTCTGAGTTAGAAAGCTCTTTTTTAAAGTGCTTGGAAATGTTGGTTTGATGAATGGACACATCTTGGTACCCAGGATAATAGTCCTGCCAACCTGGATTCAAATCTCAGTCCTGCCCATTATTAGTTGTGCAACTTTGAGCAAGTTTTTGAACCTTGTAGTAACAATTGCTGTAATTTATGGAGTGCTTACACTGTTCCAGGCACCAGGCTACGCACTCACCATGAGTACTGTCATCTGCTCGTTCATTTTATAAATAAGGAAACTGAAGCTCTGAGGCTTTTGTTGATTTGCTCACAGATATTGGTTAGAGACTCAAATTTCATCTGTTAGGTTCCAAAGCTGCCCTGTGGTCTTAACCTCCTCACCACAGTGACTGTTCATAGAACCTACTCACAGGGTTACTGAGATCATCCATCTACAGTAGTGAGCACTGGGCCTGGCACGTAGGAAGTGCTTGATCAAAGTTAATTATGACTATGATTACGTATTTACTATTATTATTAATATTACTACTATTATTGATAATATTACTATTATTAACGCAGAGTAGGCTAACAAAAGGCTGCCCACTAGGACTCTGCTGTAATAAACTGAGAAGAAAAAATTATCATTCAGTATTGTTTAGATGTCCCTGGTACTTCTGAAGTGACTATGGGCTTTTAAAGATACCCCACAAACTCAGGATGAGGTCGACTCTGAGTTCTAGGGCAGGCACTTTATTCATCAATGAGCGAACTGAAGGTCAAGCTGGCACTGTAAGAAAAAAAAAATCCCCAGAAAGGAGCAGAATCGAGTAGAAAGAACATACCCAGCTTGGACCCAGAAGTACCTTACCAGCAGTGTGCCCAGAGGAACCTCCCTGGGCCTCAGTTTCCTCACCTACAAAATGGAGTTGATCTATGAATTGGAGCTTCTGCAATAATTAAACAGCATCTGTGAGTGTTGGAGTCAGCTCGGGCTCCTAGAACGTACTGTGTGGCTTAAACAACACACACTTTATTCCTCACAGTGTAGGGGCTGGGAAGTCCAAGATCGAAGTGCCAGTCAGTCTGGCTCCTGGTGAGACCCTCTTCTGGTTTGCCAACAGTGGCTTCTCTGTGTTCCCACACGGCGGAGAGCAGGGAGAGAAATCGTCTGTCCCACATCTCTTCTTAGAGGGACACGCACCCCATTGATGAGCCCCTCCTAAAGGCTCCACTTCCAAATACCATCACCTTGAGGATTGGGGCTTCAACATGTGAATTTGATGGGGACACAGCATTCAGTCCCTAGCAGTGACGGACCAGGTGTGTCTCACGTGCAGAAGGTGCTCGGCGATGTGGCCTGCCTCCTTGTCCCTTGAGGTTTTGCCATGTCAAGGGGTCAGTGAGAGCCCTGAGCAAGGCAGACCCTAAATTTCTACCACCAGTGCCCTGTTTCCATGTGCACATCCGTCTTGCCCGTCTTCATCTTTTCCCCGTTCCCCAAGTCCTCCAGGAATATCTGCCCCTGCTCCAGTAGCCTTCCTTACGGAAGTTCTTCCTCCTTGAAGTTCCTGCTGTGAGTGTGGAAATCACACCCACTTTACACACCATCATCTCTTCTCTCCCAGCAACTCACAGGCTAGATATGTGGCTTCTGCTCCATCTTTGCCCACTGGCCCACCTGCTTCTGGCAGCACCCAGACCTTTCTCACTTTCAAAATGTTAATTAAATGGGGAAAAAATAATAACTGACCTATTGTAAAGCAGGAGCAGGTCCTCGGTCTGGTTTCTGCCACCAACTTGCTAAGTCATTGAACCCTCTGGGCCTCGGTTTTCCCATCTGTCAGTTGAGCCAAGAAGGATCAGATTTCTGCAACTCCATTAGTACTTGCCCATATGTCAGTGGTAAAGGGCAGGGATGCTATGCCATGTGTTGGATGGTTCAGGTAGATGCTATGTGTTGGGCACGGTGTTGGGCACTGGAAAGACAACAATAAGGAAAAGACAGTCCTTGCCTTCAGTGAGATCAGAATAGCATGTGGTTAAATCAACAACAAGAGTCATAGCAAGAACAGCCAGTATTTACTTAGCACCCATCGTATGCTGATCCTTGTCTTGAATCCTCCCGACAACTGCATGAGGCAGGACCCATTTTACAGAGGGAGCAACTGAGTCAAAAGAGGTTAAGAAACTTACCCAAGATGACAGAGCTAGTTGACCACAGAATGGGATTTGAACTCGGGTCGTCTGATATCGGAGCCCATGCCCCTTAGCCACTAAGTTTTGGAGTCCAACCTGAGTCAGAATCCAGACTTCCGTTTCTTTACTTATACACTATCCTCTGGGGTTTAACCCCCAGGACGCAGCAGCCATGGAGACCAGGAAAGAAAACCAAGAAAACATCTGCAATCACAACTAAACATTTCTTAGAACTGAGAGCAGATGGGAAGAAAAGGAAACACATGGGTCTCAGCTTTCAGTGTTCAAGGAAACTTGGACAAATTTTCCAGCCAAAGTAAAAGATCCCACCTCCCTGGTGATAACCCAGCAAAACGTGCAGGGGCTTTGGAATCAGACAGAGGTGGGTTCAGTTCTCAGCAGGCCCCTTTCTCACAAGCTCTGTGGCCTCAGACAAGCTCCTCTATCTTCCTGAGCCATAACGAAGGGCGCATGGTAAAAGTAGCAGAAACCACCTCTTGCCGTGTATTTTAAAGATGGTTGACAAAACTTTTCTTGTCCTCCTTCCTTTGCGTGCCCTTCTCCCCACGCCTCTGGCCTCAGGAATCCTGACCTCTGTGAAGAGATGCTCGCGTTTCTGGTCCAACCCAAGCCAGAGAACCGCAAAGAAGGGGCCTTCATTCTGGATTCTCCGACACAACACTGACGTCCCAGCTGCAACGTACTGTCCCTGATGAGAGACTGGGAAAGGAAAAGCATATATATAGATATATATAGATATAGATATATATACAGGAAACACCACGTCCTTGCACTGCTGCCGGGGCTGGCCGAGCATTCGGCCGACAGCAACCAACATCCGAACACCTACATTTCCTTTGCAGACAAATTCAAGACTCGGTGGGATTTTTCAGGAAAAAATGGTAACAACAATAACCCCTTGCTTTCCCCTCCTCCCTTGGAGCCCTGCAGAACAACCAGGGCAAGTCAGACCTCGCTGATTGTAGGAGTTCAAGTCGACCCTGGTTCTGCACGTTACATTTAGTGGACGAGCGTTCTGTTTGTTCTTCTCCCGTGTCCGTTGCCCACTCGAATGCAAAGGAAAACACTTTTGCAGCCAAGCAAGAGAAGCTGCAGCAGCAAGACACGCCCCGTCAACCATTTTCCGAGAAAGAGCGAAAGTTCCCCACTTGGAAGGGAGGAGGAGGAACACTGGATTATTATCTTTCGGGTCTTGACACTGGGCTGCAAAAATCCACCTTCCTTTCTTCCACCTCCCTTCCCCCTTGACTCTCACACGTCTTGTCATTTTCTGTCTCGGGTCCCTCTCCTCTCTCCCCCACCCCACGTCCTTCATCCTCCAGTGTCCTGGTCCTGCTGAGGGCCACTGCGATGACTCTCATTGGAAACAAGAAAAAGAAAAGAAAAGCAAGAACGTAAAACCAAGCCACAGGGAGGTAGACATTGTATGTTTATGGGTTCTCACTATGGAGGTGCAGCTTGTAGGAGGTTTGTACGGATGTGCTTTTAAGTGATGTATATTACGTATAACAGGAAACAAATACTACAATAAACCGTGCTGGTAAGTATGAAGCTGACATTTTAAAATTATAATTATCTGACTGTGATTGATATATCCCAAGGTTCCTAGATCTCACTGAATCGGCCCAGCCAAGGAGACCTGGACCCTGGCTGTAGGTCGCTCATGGTAGGAGCTGACGGTTCAGTGTAGAAATACAGTGTGTGGTGTTTGTAATTTGGTTGATTGATGGGGAGGGGCGGGGTCCCCAAATGGAGAGGCAGGGGTTTGGCAAGAAGGAAGCAGGCTCAACGCCTTCTCCCCACCGGGGCAGTAGCAGCCACGGTCTGGTCTGTGCTCAGGCGTGGTGTCCAGAGTTAGGATTCTGCCACACAGGTCCCCTGGCTTAGTTCCCCTACCTCTCTAGAGGCTGGCCTCGGTTCTTAGTTATCTCTTTTTTGCCACCTGGCTTGCCTTTCCCTGACCGCATTGTGACAGCTAACTCCCATCCAAAGAGAGGTGACACCTCTGGCTGCTGCAGAGGATGGCGGCTTTCATCCGGCTGTCTGAAGATTCCCAGCTCAGCCTTTCTCTTTACCACTCCTGTATTCTGTCCGAATCATTCTCTTCTTCCTGGGCCAAAGCAGCCATGGTAGAGACTGAACACAGGGCAGGCCCTGAGAGGTCAAAACTGCATTCCCAAAGGCTTCGCCTGCCCCAGAATGAGCTGAGGAGGAAAGGCCATGTGGCTGAGGCTCCATCTATGTATAAGACCCTGGCTTTGGAGACCTTTCCTTCGGTCAGTGCCTGCGCTCTGAGCCTGTGCCCTTGGCACCCCAGAAATGGCCTCGAGACCACAGAAGCCCTCAGAGAAGAGCCTGGCATTGCCCTCTGGCGCGTGTGGGCTTTCCCAGGCTTTCCTGACGCAAGCTGCTTCCCCGAGCTCACTGAAGCTCCTTCTGAGGGAGGATGTCTCTACTGCCTCTTAATTTCTCAGCCCCATTTCACTTACCCCTTCCTGCTTCTAAAGCAGTCAATGAATTCATTCCACAAATATTTATCGAGTACTTACTTGTGCCGGCACTAGTTAGGCTCAAGGAGAAAGTGTGAGGGGAGCAGTGGGACCTGGGAAGCCCCCTAGGCCAGCCTCACATCTCCAACCCCTCTGCGAGTGTTTCTACCTTCTCTCCAGTGATCAGACATGGCCTGGGGGTTCCCTGCAGAGCTTGGGCTCGCTCATCAGTTAGCCCAGTGACCCATATGCTTAGCTGCTTAACTGGTGCTGACCCGAGGCAGGACAAGAATCCAGAATAGTGTTTGCCTCTGTGGGCAAAAATGGGATGGAAAGAGGGCAGAGAGAGTCCTGCAGCAGGGGCTCAGATGGCCCAGCCAACCCCATCCCCCCGGAGCAGGCAGGTGGCCCACTCCAGCTCCCCCCGAGAGCAACAGCACACTTTGAATGCACCAGGTTCTTTTTACAATCCTGGGAGAGAAGCCACAGGACCTCCTTCCTGTCCTCTTCAACCTGAGAGCCCCCAGTCTTTCTAGGCCAAGAGCTGGAGTGGCTGCACCCTCTCTGTCTTTGTAGGAACCAGGTGTCCTCAGTGCCCTGGACAGACCTCAGAGGGGGAATATTTGTTCTTGGTTCTGCACCTGCAGACTCTAGGTGTGTGGCTTCAGGGCAGGGACAACGTGACCAGGCCTAGTTTGTGGGCCAGCCAGGGTTTGTGGAGATCTCCATCCCACCAATGCTCTGACCTTCCTTCCACAGAGAGGCAGGCAGTGCCACCAGGGAGGAGGGGAGCTGTGAAGCTGAAATCTAGGGCACTGTTTCCTCCCCATCCTCCTCTTCGTAGAGAATATAGATGTTTGTCTTGTCTGTCTTCAACCTACTTTTCCTTTTTGCCTTTTTACATTTCTCATCCTTTCCGTGCCACCTCTCTGCCCAGGAGACCATGTAGCATAGTGGAAGAAGTCCTGGGGGGCCGTCAGAAGTTCTGGGTGGCCATCCTGGCTCGGCCCCTAACTCATCACGTGCCATTGGGTTAGTCCCATCCCCCCTTGGGGCCTCAGTGTCCCCACTTGCAAAATGAACAGGATAAAGCAGATGCTCTCCATGGCCTTTTTCCACTCTGCCAGCCTACAAATCTTTGTTTTCTCTTCTTTTGCTTTCTTGGGATCTTTTCCATCTGAGGGTACAGGAAATGCCAGGACCTGTTTCAGTTTTTGAATCCTGCAAGCACATTCCAAGACTGGCCTGAAACTGCATGAGCAACATCACTCTAAATATATTTTTTTTTCAAAAGCACCTTCCCAACCAACTGCGATGCTGTCCTGGTCCTTTTTACTCACACCCCCCCTCTCCTCTCTTGTCCCCGCGCTCCCCCACCTCAGTGCTCCGTGCTGTATGCGTGTGCTCTCTGTTCTTGTATACTCAATAAAAGTGAAATAAATGTGTTTGAGGCTGAACCACAAACTGCCTTGGCATCTCTCTCTGACCTTGGATACCAGTACAAGTTGGCATTGTGGGAAGGGCTAAAACTGGGGAGGAGAGATCCCAACTAGAACACTTTCATTCAACCTACTACACTTTCATTCAAATGTTTGTAGACCCCAGGGTGGTCCAGGCCTAGGGGTAGGCTTTACAGGAACAACAAACAAGGCCAAGTCCCTGCTCTCCAGTAGCTCATAGTCTAGGAATCTGACAACAGAACAGGAAGGCTCTCCCAGACAATTCCAGAGTAATCAGCACCAGGGGAGATGGATGGTCATCAAAGGAGACCACTTTAAATAAGGTGGCCAGTTATGGCCTCCCTTGAGGACACAATTTTTGAGCTGAATGAAGAGAAAGATCCAGTAAGGCGAAGAACTTGCAAGAGAGCATTCCAGGCAGCAGAAACAGTAAGTATGCGGGCCCAGGACACAGAAGGGTTTGCTGTGTGGATGCATACTTGAAAGGACATCTACATTGGGGTCTTTTCTGCATCCCTCTCCATGGGAACCAAATGAATAATGTATACAGCAAACCCCAACTTCAGCCTTGGCTCATCACCTTCATGTATGTTGCCATATCCCTGTGTGTGCCACCTGTCCCCATGTTGACAACATTTTTCTCTACATTTACTCTCTTATTTAAAAAGGAAACTATATTACTTACGCAAATGAAAAACTAGTATCCCTTGCCTCTTGCAAAGAAAGGTCTTCATAAAAATAAATACAGAAATACTGAAATTTAAAAACCATAATCCATATAAAACTTAAATTTGTCCCTTGAGCCCCTGGAGGTGCAGGTACCAACACTTGCCTTTTATTCTACTAAACAACTCACCTCAACCACCTTTCTTTATTGCCCAAAATATCACAAGCAAGAACCACTTCTAACTATTTGGTGCATTTCGTTCCAGTCTTCTCTCATACATATGTATTTTTATCAGAGTTGAAGTCACCTGTACATGCCATTCTAAATACTTTTAAAAACTTAAATCCTGAGCATTTCCCTATAATTTCAAATACTAAATACTATGTCTTTTCTTTTTCAAGGTAATTCATTAAATGATACAAAATGCTGTGCAGTGAAAAGCAATTCTTCAACCCTCTCCAGACTCCTGTCCATTGTCAGAGGCACTTGCTTCCAGGAGTTTCATGAATCCTTCCCTGAATTTTCCCTGTAGTTTTCTTTTAGCTAGCTGTCACCCCTGCAGTCCTGGAATAGGACTTGTTTTGCAAACATTGGGTACCACCCACACCCTGGATCTGTATCTCTGTCTCACATAAATATAGGGTCAGCCTCCGAACTGCTTAGGAATAACCTGGCTGGTTCATTTAGATCAGTGATTTTTAACGTGGGAGGTGGGTATGATTTCCTCTGACAAGGGAACATTTAGCAATGTATAGAGACAGTTTTGGTTGTCACAGCTGAGGAGTGTTACTGGCATCTAGTGGGCAGAGGCCAGGGAAGCTGCTAAACACCCTACAATGCATAGGATAATGGCCCTACAACAAAGAATTATCTGACCTCAATAGTACCAAGGTTAAGAAACCTGATCTGGATAGACATGCAGTCTACAAGGTAGGATTCCTGGGCTACTATCACAGCTTCTGTGTCTAGAGTTCAGTGCCCTGAAATTTCAGAAAGTGGTGAACCCAGCTGGAACAGGGCATTTTGAAAACAGACTGCGGAGCTCAGCATAAGACTGGGAATGAGGAGGGGTGGAGAGGGAGCTGAGCTTCTTCATGCAGGAAATGGAACTGACATGACAGGCTGAGATTGACATGCATGACTGTGACTGATGGAGGCCATCTCTGGTTAATATTGCAGCAGCTCATTGTGATTAACCATAACTGCAGGGCCTGGTCTAGTCTGAAGTTCCCTAAAAGATGAATTTTGACTGAGACAGATTGGCATGTCCAGCTGTCACTGAGGAAGTGTGACAGACAAGCTAAGGAGCAGCAGCCTGGGGACAAGAATAGCCAGTCAGACCTTGGTTTGCATCCTAGCCCTGCCACTTTCTGGCTGTGTAACCTCTCTGAGCCTCAGTTTTCTCTTCTGCATGCTGGGAATACTAACTCTGCTTAACTAGGGTCAGTGCAAGGATTAGAAATCATATACCAAGTGTCCTGCCCTTTGGAATTTGGATTTACCTAGCCAGCCCTCACAATCACGTAAGCCAATTCCTTGCAGTGAAGCTGTTATATACCTCCTGTTGGCTCTACTTCTTGGCTGAACCCTGACTGATACAACCATCCAGCACAGGGCTAGGCCCCAAAATAGAAGCCATTAGTTAATAACAAACTACTGTCATTAATTAAATGCATACTATATGTACTGAGCTGAGCCTTTGTGCCTGGCTTTGTGCTAGATTCCAGGGAAACAGTGGAGAACAAGCCAGACAGTTTCCTTTCCTCAAGTTTACAGCCTGACTGAGATATATAGACCTGCACTGTCAGAGGACACTGGGTGATTATGGCTGGAGGCATGGATGTGGTGACTACTGTTGCTGAGACTGGTTCCCTCTGGGCTGGGTTTCTGAGGCTCTGCCCTAGGGCTGAGAGTGGTTGGAGGCTGAGACCGGGTGATAAATGGCCAGCTGTGACACTGTTACTCTGATAGTGATTGGCTGACCAGAATCATGACGGAACCTCTGACTGTGGCTATCGGGCAGTCACGACCTTCATCATAGCTTCTGAAGCCATGAATAATTGAGACTGAAAAACCATGGCTGGTGGATGTGTTTCTGAAGCGGGATATAAAATGCATCGTTTGATGAAAGTTACTGTCCGCGGTTCGGGAGCTAAAATCAGTTACTGAAAGTAGCAAAAGGCAACGTTTGATAGGGCGGAACTTGCAGGCGCGGACCAGTCCTTCCGCGACTGAGGGATCTGCCCGGCCCCTTTCGCCGTTGCTCCCGTGCGGCGCCAGAGCGGGAGAAGTTCCGGTGCGCTTCCCTGGTTCCTGAGCTTGGGGCAAGGCCGAAGTCGGTGAGTGCGGCCTCTTGTGCTCTTTTAACTGCTCTGCTTTCGTTGTCTGTGTGGCCCCGGCCACCCCTTTTCCCGGGTTGGGATCGCGGAGGGCCCTGAACTAGCCAGGTCTGCGGGGTCCCTCTCTATGGGCTGGAGGTGGGACCCATCTGTCTCTGTAGGCCTTTCTCCCTGAGAAACCGTCGCCCGACACACCGCGGCCAGGACTTCTTGGGACGCCCGGGGTAACTTGCTTTTTTCCTAACTTTAGAACTTGGGGCCCCGGAGACCTTGGCTCCGTTTGAAGTAGTTCTGTCCTACTCTTTGTAACTTCAGATAAGGTCTTTTCCGTTTGTTTCATATCTACAAAATGGATATCATGCTTTTATTAAGTGAATGCTTACCAAGCGTCTAATGTGTGCTAGAGATACAAAAGACTCCCGTCTTTCGGAGGTGACAGCCCTCTATTAACATTTGCAAAATTGCGGCTGTTATGAGTAAAATGGAAAGATTCACCGTGCCATGAGGGTGTATCACAGGATACCAGACCTATCCCCCAGGTCAAGGAAGCTTTACTGAAGAGGTGACTATTGAGCAGAGATCAGAAAAATGATTTGAAAAAGAGGGGAGGGAAGACTTTTCTACCCCGGGGAGCTTCCTGTTCGAGGATCTGAAAGAGGCTAATGTCTGGAACAGAATGCTTGTAGGGGAAGTATGGTATGCTACAAGCTTGAGGAGTTGCCAGGGCCCAGACCATGCAGGCCTTATAGGTCATAGTAAAAATTTCAGTTTTCCAAGAGCCACTCAGAGGGTATTAAGTGTGAATGGTGAAGTGTTTAGATTGGCACTTTGAGAAGGTTACTTGAGCTGTTGGATGGAGAAGGGATTGGAGGGGTGACTGCTCTCTGGGTGAGGGACATGGTAATTTAGAGTAAGGTGGTGGAGAGAAGTGGATGGATATGACTTTTTGCATTCCAAGGCATCTTCTTTGTGCCAGGCCATGTGCCAGCTGCTAAAGATATAGTGAAGAGAATTACAGTCTGGTGGATTAGAATGAAAGGAATGTCAATATCAAGGAGGAGCACACAGATGCCACAGGGAAAATGGCTAATTGATGAGCAGTTATTTTAAATGCAACTGCTGTTTATTTAGTAAATACTTATTAAGTACCTTCTGAGTCGAAGGTTGGGAATAGGAAGATGATCTAAATTATTCAGATCAGTGGCTTTCACACTTTTGACGATTGTGAACTACAGTAACAAATACATTATAGTTCAAATACAAATACATTATATATTCTTGTGGCCAAGAATCCTCACAACACACAAAACTTCAGAAAACAATACTTAGCTTTACAGAAAACAATACAGAGCATGATGTGCTCTGATTTTTAAATATTCTGTCCTTTTATTTTAAAAAGTTAATGCTGTTCAAGATCCTATAAAATTGATTTCTTAACCCATTAATGGGTTGTGACTCGCAGTTTGAGAAAAATTCTGATTTAGAGTGAGAGTCATTTGTGGTGGTTTTGGGATTAAGACAATAAAATGGCCTTAAGATTTTTGGAAAAGTGCTGGCCTTCCTTTCCTTATGGTTTTATTTTGTTTTGTTTAAAATAAAATGAATAAAAAGAATTCAAGAGGCAGCTGGTTCTTTGTGAAGATTTGGGGTATTGTTTTTACATCTGGCTAGCCTGGAAGTGCCTAGAGGGTGGTAACTGTCTTACTCTGTGAATGTTTCTTTTAGTGCCCAGTGAAGATCCTGGCACAGTGCAGGCACTCCGGGATTATTTGGCTGAATTGAATAGGTAGCTGTCTTGGGACTAGAAGGTTAGATAATTGTTTGGTTTAAATTAGTTCATGTTGGAACTATTCTAATAAATATAGAGGCAGTGTCTATTTGCTTACAGAAGTTTTACCAGTATGTCTTCATGGGTTGTTCAGAGGTAGATAAAATAAATGTTCTAAGCTCTTTCTCTTATAAATACTGATCCGAGGCCAGCCATGCCAGTTGAATCCACTCTGAGTGAGTAGTCCAGAGCTGCCACTGCCTGTGGACTGTTCGGGAGGTTGTTTCACTCCCTGGACTTCAGTGTTTAGACAAGTAAGAGGAGGAGGTGGGTGTGATTGTGGTTGTGGTTGAAAAGGTCTCCACTTGCCAAACCTGTGAATTTTGGATGCTAGGCACACACTTTCCACCTTCTGTCCATTTCTGGGCCTTCCCTGGGGCTTACAGAAAACTGGGTGGGTGCTTCTCAACTCTTCTGGGACTTTCCAGCAATAGGCTTTAGACAGAGTTATAATTTAAGACAGTTTAGACAGTGTTAGAGTTTAGAATGGGTTAGAAATTTTAGTATAGTTTTGTTATAGGAGGCTTTCTCCACCTTCCTCCTCTGTTGTGAGAGAGAGATCTGAGAATAGATCTTGAGTGAACAGTGGAAAGAACCAGAAGGGCAGGGTACCCAGGTTCTTATTGGGTCCTTGTGTGACCTTAAGCGTGTCACTTTTCTTTAACTGATGTCTTTCTAGCTGCGAAATGAGTGTTCTTGTTCATTAAACCAAAACACAGAAACTCTCTTTAAGTCCCATTTTCTTCATCTGTAAAAATGATGCAGAGTTGTGGTGAAGATGAAGGGAGATAACTATGTCAGGGGTCTAATTCAATATCTGGCACATAGAGAATGTTCATCAAATGAAGCATTCTTCCCCAGGTTCTGATTAACTCTGATTTTTTTTTCAGCTATTCTGGAAGACTAGGAAAGTTTTTTTTCTGGATCACCGACCACTGGTCCCATGGCTGCCATGCAGATGGATCCTGAGCTTGCCAAGCGCCTCTTCTTTGAAGGGGCCACTGTGGTCATTCTGAATATGCCCAAGGGGACAGAATTTGGCATTGACTACAACTCCTGGGAGGTGGGGCCCAAGTTCCGAGGCGTGAAGATGATCCCGCCAGGCATCCACTTCCTCTACTACAGCTCTGTGGACAAGGCCAATCCTAGGGATGTGGGCCCTCGTATGGGCTTCTTTCTTAGTCTTCAGCAGCGGGGGCTGATGGTCCTGCGCTGGAATGCGGTCCGGGAAGAGGTAGACCTGTCCCCAGCCCCAGAGGCTGAGGTGGAGGCCATGAGGGCCAACCTCCAGGAGCTGGACCAGTTCCTGGGACCTTATCCATATGCCACACTCAAGAAGTGGATCTCACTCACCAACTTCATCAGTGAGGCCACAGTGGAGAAGCTGCAGCCTGAGACCCGGCAGATCTGTGCCTTCTCAGAGGTGCTGCCCGTACTCTCCATGAAGCACACCAAGGACCGGTTGGGGCAGAATCTCCCCCTCTGCGGCACTGAGTGCAAGAGCTACCAGGAGGGCCTGGCCCGGCTGCCTGAGATGAAGCCCAGAGCTGGCACAGAGATCCGCTTCTCAGAGCTGCCCACACAGATGTTCCCAGCAGGTGCCACGCCGGCAGAGATAACCAGGCACAGCATGGACCTGAGCTATGCCCTGGAGTCTGTGCTCAGCAAGCAGTTCCCCAGCAGCCCCCAGGATGTGCTAGGTGAGGAGGAGCGAGGCTCCTTTGAGAGTGGGCCAAAGGAAGGGTATAAAAAGGGGGGCTTTAAAATAGGGAGTACATCTTGGGTTATCTGGTCCAGTGGTTCCTAAACCTGACGAGTAGGCAGTCTTACCCAGTACGCTTGTTAAAGATACAGATTCCCAAGCCTTACCTCTGGAGGCTGGTTCAGAAGGTCTGGAGTGGGGCCCCAGCAGTTTGTCTGTCTACGTAACAGACAACCACTGTAGGTGAAGCTGATACAGGCAATCCTGTGCTTCAGAACCAGTGGTGTGGCCCAGCCTCCACACTACTGCATTTTACAGATTAAGGTCCATGGAGGGAAAGGACATGGGTGACTCAGTGGTGTGGTTGAAGTGAGACCAGAGTCCAGGACTCCTGGTTCCCAGGCCCAGCTATGTCCCTGGGGGCCTCTTATCTGTCCCCTCAGTTTGCTCCTGACTCTCTTAAGGGTTCAGCCAGAACAGTGATTTTTTTTAAATTGTTACAGTTTTTATTGTTGTTTTTCCCCCTTATTACAAAAATAACATGTTCATCCTAGAAGAAAAACAAAAATAAAATTCCAAATTCCACTACTAAGAAATAACCATTTTTTAATATTTTGTTGTATTTATTTTCCATCTTTTAGATACATATTTTTATGTATTTTTCAGGTGGTTTTTTAAAAATAACATTTACCTTTTTTATTTTATTTTTTTTGGTTTGGGGAGGTAATTGTGTTCATTTGTTTAGTGGAGGTACTGGGAATTGAACTCAGAACCTCATGCATGCTAAGCTTGGGCTCTACTACTGAGCTACACCCTCCTCTTCAGTTTTTAAATATATTTCTGTGTTTCCTTGTAGTCCTTTTAAATTCAGTTATATGTTGGTGTATGCGTATGATATTTTCACAAAAGACAAGATTATGATATATTATGTTGTAATTTGCTTTAATATAAACGTTTTTCCATGTCACTGAAACTCACTTCTCTTTAGTGGCTACTTAGGTTCCATAGTTATTAAACCAGCCTGTATGAACCATAGTTATTGAATCCGTTGGTGGATCTTTATGATGTTCCTGTTTTCCCTATTATAACTATTGTCTAATGATCCTCCTCTTGTGTCCTTTTGCCTATGTTTAGGGTGGGAATTATTGAAACAGAGTGTGCGTGTTTCCGGAGGAGGTTGCGCTTCCTCATCAGCTGGTTGATGATAAGCTGTTGCTCATCACTTTTGACATTTGACCTGGCAATTTAGCCAAGGCCTCTTCCAAGTGAATGGTTGAAGAATGACATCTTATTTCAGTTTATATTTCTTCAGTTACTAGTGACAGCAAACATTTGTCACAGCTTTAATAGCTATTAATATTTTTTCTTTTACAAGTTGTCCAGTATTTGCATATTTTTCTATTGGAAGATCAGTGAGAATTTTGAATATAGGGCCTTTTATAGAAATTGGCTCAGCTGATAAAAAGGGACATTTTAAAGGGCGTATCTGTTTTTTATTTAATAAGTAACACTTGGAATTCTGGCTTAAAAATGGACAGAAATCCTGTTTTCTACTTCTGAAGCATTTCAGTTCTTCAAAGTAATCTTGTGAAAAAGTCTGTTGCAGGGATCACTGTATCTTCATGACAGCTCTTTGAAATTACTTCTGATCTGATAATTTAATTTTAGAGTAGGCCAGAAATGTATTAATTTAAATAAATGCCTTAAATTCAGAGAATAAGCTTGTATTTTCTCAAACTAACCAGGTAAAGCCAATTGAAGAAGCAAATCATTAACCTCTATCATACAGAGAAAATTTTACTGTATTTTGAAAATATTCATCAAATATCAAGACTACCTAGACCAGGTAACTATTTACAGAAAGCAAACTTAGTTCCACAAGGCTTAGAACAGGAAACTAGTTTTTCCAGGTCTCTGGAGGTGACAGAGATCAGACACCATGTGTTTGAAGAGGTATTTACTGTTGTTCTTTTTATGGCCCACATGTAGGTATGCCACAGAAGCCCTCCTTAAATTTGAAGTCAGAGAGAATGTCTCTGATCAGTAACAGTATGTTTTGGCAACCAAATTTGGCAGACACCCAGCTGCTTGCCCAAAAACAATGGCTTCTGGATTATCAGGTCTCTTTGTTTGAGACAGGCATCTGGTGGAAATGTGGGATAATAACTTAAGATTCCTTGAGTGCTACTTTGTGCCAGGCATTATGTTAAATGCTTTATATGTGCTATATTGATTCATTTAATCGTCACTGCAAAGCTCAAATAAGGAAATTGAAGCATAAACATATTAAGTAACTTGCCCAGGGTCACACAGCTGTGAAGTGGTGGAGCTGAGATTTGAACCCAGGCAGTTTGGCTCCAGAGCCACAAGCTGCTCATAGAGATTAAATCACAGAGCCCTGTGATCAAACAAACAAAAATAATTTGGCTGGCAGTCTAACCCTGGAAAAGTACTCTTGAATTTTCCTGTTCAAGGAGGCTCTAGGACTGTTCCCACCCAATAGGAAATCTGGTTTATCTTTCCTCTGTTCAATTGCCGAGCATTAGATATGTGACCTTGGGCAAGTCTACTGACCTCATGTATAAAATGAGGCAAATACCATCTTCTCTGACCACCTTGTAGAGTTGGGCTGAGGATTACATGGTGTAATGCCACATTTCCCCAACCCTGAAGCAGACTATCTGTATCAGAAACACCCAAGGAGCTTGTTAGAGCTTCAGATACTGAGGCCCCATCATCGGTCCTCATCCAGGATCTCTGGCGGTGAAGCTTGGGCAGCTTTAGTTTTCACAAGTTCTCCTAGTAATTCAAATGGACAGCCAGTTTTGGGATTCACTTGGCATAATATCCATGGACTCGTTTTGTCAACTTTTTAAGTGCCAGGCAAATACTAGATGTACCTCTGCTGTTGCAGTCTGATTTTATAGAAACCCAAAACTGATTTGGTTTCTCTTGCAGTTCAGCAGGTTTTATTGAGTAGCTTCTAGGGACAAAACCCCTTTCCAGGTCCTGGAAGAGTCACAAGGACAGAAAGCCCCATTGCCGAGGCCCAGTGCAATTGACGGCCTAGGAGAGTCAGCTGCTACTCCTCTCCCTAAAGATCATTTCTCCTCTCTGCACCTTCCAGGTGAGCTCCAGTTTGCCTTTGTGTGCTTCCTGCTGGGGAACGTGTACGAGGCATTTGAGCACTGGAAGCGGCTCCTGAACCTTCTGTGCCGGTCAGAAGAAGCCATGGTGAAACACCACACCCTCTACATCAACCTCATCTCCATCCTGTACCACCAGCTCGGCGAGATCCCCGCTGACTTCTTTGTGGACATTGTGTCCCAGGACAACTTCCTCACCAGCACCTTACAGGTGAGCAGTCTTTCAGCTGATACCCCAGTGGGTCAGAATTAAGGCCAGGGTCTGAGAAAGCACCCTCGGAGGCTTACTTTTTTGTTTCTTGCTATTCTTTCCTGAGCCAAGTTTTCTTCATTTCAGTTTCCTAATCTTAGGCTGTTTTCTGGTTCTGTCTCTCCTTGGTTGTGAGCTCCTTAATGCCAGAGCCCCTCTCTCTGTGCCACCTTCTCCCCAACTCTCCTCCGGAGTGCCTAGCCCTGGGGTACTTGGAATTTGAAACAGTCCCACCACTTGAGTTACTTAGCTCAAAACAGTTTTTCTTTCTCTCTCTCTGTAACCATAAGTTGCTGCAACCCAGTAGGACAGAGTTTTGAAGCTAGTTATTCCCAGGGAAACATCTGCAGCTCCTTAGATCTCATTTAAGCATTAAAGTAACTTTGATTTCCTTTTCAGACAAAATGTGCCAGTTTCTGCAGAGATTCTCTGACAGAAAAAAGTGAAATTTGCTTTTAACTCAGCAATTAAATTTTCATTATGAGTGGTAATTAGGGAAGAAGCTTCAAACAACTTACAATCTTCATCCTGTGCTATTTCCTCCCTTTGCAAACAGATTAGCTTCCTTTATGTTCTTGAGACAACCTCTGCCACTCACATTTTGTAACTTTTTCAAGTATGGAAAAGGCAGAAGCTGCAAGCTGTCAGTTTCCGTATGTTCTGCTCCATGACTGCTTTCTTCTCCCTGTGCATGAGAACCCCACAGGGCCTGCTCCTTAAAAAGTGGCGATTCACTAACCTCCCACTCCCACCCAGGGTAAGGAAAGGAATGAACTTACTAGGTGCCTGTTGGCATTTAGTAGGCACCACAGTTATCTCTTTATATAGGTACCCTCATTTAACCTCTCTGCAGCACTGTAAGGCAGGGAGGATTATTCCCATTTTATAAGTGAGAATACTGAGACTCAAAAAGGTTAAGTCATTTATGCATGGTCATACAGCTGGTAAGTAATAGAGTCAGGATTTGTACCCAGGCCTGAGTCTTGATTTAAGACCTGTGCTTATGCCCCTGAGTACTGAATACAATGTAGATCCCCTCAAAAGATTCTTGACTGACATTAGGGGAGACACTATCAAGGATCACAGGTACAGAGCTCTTCTAAAACTGACATACTGTTGGAAAAGTCCCTGTGATCAGGCAGCTGACATAAAACTCCAGGAGTTGAAGGACTTGTGTGGAACACAGAGATGAGTCAGTCAAGCTGATGGTTTGAGCTTGGTGTATTCCACTTCAGAAGAGTTATAAAACTGCCCTTTCATTGGTTCTTGATATAACAGAAAAATTAAATCCCTTTATCCTTCCTCTGCAGGGGAAATCCGCCCCACAGTTACTGGGTTATGGGTTGCAGAGTAGTAGGATGCATCAGCCTGCTAACTCGCCTCTGGCAGTGGCTGTGGCCCCCGTGAATATGTGCTACCCTTGTGATGTGCGTTAATGCTGCCGTGCAAACATAGGAGGGTCACGCTGCGTTGTTGGCTGTCCCAGCCATTGTCAGCACAGCCAACAGCTGAGCTCTTAATTGCCGCAGCTTCGTCGCCAGCAATGATTTACGAAGCAGAAAGGGCCCAGCTGGATTTCTCGATGTCCAGGTGGGGTGTGCAAAGCTGATGGTTAGAAGAATTCTGTCTTGGGACTTCTCACCAAAAAAATTTGATGTCATTATTTGGAGAAATCTGGGACGTGTGCCTTTAAAAAAATATATCAACACATGTTTTTGAGCATCCTTTCTTTATATACAACACTCTCCTGAAAGTGTTGAGGAATACATATATGAGTTAGCCAGGGTTCCTGCCCTCAAGGCATCTCTTCATTGATTTAACAGGTATTTGCTGAGCACCTGCTGCATTCAAGGCCCTGTTCTAGGATGGGAAATATAGCTGTGAATAAGACAGAGTCCCTGACTTGTAGTTCATATTTTGGTGGGAAAATAAACAAATGAATTAATCAGATAACTCCAGATAGCACTCAGTGTTTTAGAAGGCAGCCCTGCCCCGGTATCATTTCCCTAACCCAGGCCTTTTCATCTCATCTAGACTGTGTCAGAGTTTATCAGCTTCCATGTTTACCCCCGTCAGCCCATCTGTCTCCCATGCCACCACCAAAATGCACCTCTGATCCTATTTCTGTGGTCTTTGTTGCCTAAAAAGTTAAAAGCCCAAACATAGGTCATTCTGATCTGGATCCTAACCTGGGTGTTTTTAGATGGACAGAGTGCATAATTCCTGTGGCAGTGTAAATAGATGACCCTAATATGATAGGTGTAAACAGTGAAGTCTGATCAAAGGGTATTAGGAGCACCAGAAAGGGATTGGTTCATTCAGACTAGGTTGAGGTTTGAGGAGACAGAGAAATGGCTTTTTTGTGAAGGGGGCATTTGACCATGAGCTTGAAGGATGACACAGATTTCAACAGGCAAAATGTGGAAGGGATATTACAAAACTTTCTTCTATTTTTTCTGATGGAGAGTTACATTGATGCCATCTTGGCAGTGAGATCCTATCCCCCTGCACGCAGGCACTCACTCCGGGTGCTTGTGAGTGAATGAATCAGCCCATAAAAGTCTTCCTCAGCCAGCCGCCTGCTCTCTCCCCGCAGGTAGTCAAGTACGTGGAACTGACTTTCTTACTTAGGAGTTTAAATGGCTACTACCCATGGAGAGGGACTGGTGTTTGTGTGTGTAAGCACTTAAAGACAGCCACATTAGTTTGTATAAAATCAGCTACATAATGCCCTCTGCCATTAGAGGCCTTTTTGAATAGATGCCACTGGTTTTTACAAATCCCGTGGATTTAGCTTGAATAAAAATTATTTGTTTTACAAAAATAGATACAGTTTTTCCTTTTATTTAAAGCAACTTGAGTCATCATTATTTGTTTAAAACCAATGAAAGGATAATCTGAATTTAATAGTATGTTATAAAGTGAGTTATTTGCAAAATAAAGATTCTTATTGCTGATTGCATAGCATTTAGGCGTAGTCACATACCCTGTTTTTTTTTTTTAATACATTTAGTCACATAGGCCTTATAGGCTTTCCAGCTTCATTTCTTGCCAGTATTCTAAATGCTAGTGTCCATCTTTAAGTCTTGAGGGAAAACACTAGCTCTGACAATGATGTCTATAGTACAGGCATACCTTGGAGATATTGTGGGTTCGGTTCCAGACCACCACAATAAAGCGTGTATCACCAAGAGTGAGTCACACAAGTTTTTTGGTTTCCCAGTACATATAAAAGTCATGTTTATACTATACTGTATAGTCTGATAAGTGCAATAATAGCATTATGTCTAAAAAAATACTTTAAGAAATACGTCGTTGCTAAAATATGCTAACCATCATCTGAGACTTCAGCGACTTGTAGTCTTTTTGGTGGCGAAGGGTTTGAAATATTGCGAGAATTACCAGAATAGGACACAGATGCCAAGTGAGCAAATGCTACTGGGAAAATGGCACTGATAGACTTGCTCGATGCAGGGTTGCCACAGACCTTCAATTTAAAAAAAAAAAAAGCAGTATCTGTGAAGTGCAATAAAACAACATATGCCTGTATTTTTATCATAACACCAGCTATGATAAATTTCACCTACCTACTCCTACACCTCCTGCCGTCAGCTATCACTTCTGCACATTTACTGTGCGTTATTTTCTTTAGCCTTCACAACAATGCTGGAAGTTAAGTATATAATCCTATTTTACAGGTGAGGAAACAGGAACAGGGAGGTCACATAATTTTGCCCAAGGTTGCCAGAGCAAGTGGATGGCAAGACTGAAGTTTGATTCTAAAGCCCACTGCGATGGGCTCCCATATATGATTACAGCCCTTGATGAAACAGACCAAAATCTTTAAACTGACCTCAAGACATGATTCCTCCTCTTTGCCTTTGTGGTAATCATTGTGGAGTGATAGTCTTGCTTTTAATACCACTTTCTTCTAAAATGTACTACCTCTGGCTAGTTTTATTCTAAATTGAATAATCATTTGGGAATTGAAAAAATTAGGAAATTTCATCTTTTTGGTCTAGCCAAAAAATAGGATAAGAAGTGACTCAGCTACCTACGGTGGTATTTTGAATTTCTCAAGGTGACCTGACTGAAATCAATTTACTTAACTAGAGTTTAAGAGAAAGCTTTCACATTTCTGACTAAAGTAATTTACAGTTTTACAATATATACTTAACGATAAAAGTATTAATACCTTTTTTACATTTGAAGAAAAATATCTAATAGGTGTGCTTTTAGTTTTAGATAAATGCAGTTGTTTATGAAGTATTATCCTATTTCAATAGTATTTTTTAAATATCCTGGATTAACCTTACAATATTAAGATGGTTCATTTCTCAGTGATTTTAAAAAGTGTTCACTTGATTTCATTTTAGTAAATAAAATAACCAGATCATTACAAAATTTTCTGAAGAAGGCATAAAATTAATCTAAAAACAAGAGAATCAAAGTAAATTATTGTTTGAAAACCAAATACTGTCTAAAAATTTCTTCTGAATTGTGAGTTTTAAAAATACCAAGTTTATAAACTATAGAGACAAAAATAGATCAGTGGATGCCAGGGGCTGGGGACAATGGGAGGATTTGATCACTAAGGGGCATTGTGAGGGAATGTTTTTGGGGGTGGTGAAACTGTTCAGTATCCTGGCTATGATAGCATGTGGGCCTTCAAACTCACAGAACGGGATACCAAGAGAAAAAACCAAGCATATATCTATCTTGATTATATAGTGGTTGCATGGGTGTATATACTTATCAAAATGAATCAAACACTTAAAATGGATGAATTTAATTGTATATAAATTGTTCCTCAATAAAGTTGATTTTTTAAAAAGTCAACTGGCTGTGCCCTGGGTCCTAGAGGCCTGCAGAGGGGACAATTCCAGAACCACCTGGTCTCCTAGCCCTTTGGCTCCCCACAGGGCATTGCTGAAAATATCAAGGATGTATTAAGTCTATGTCAAGACTAAAAGAAGGTCTTGGTAGGGAAGAAAGATTTCGATTTCCCTACTTGGACTCAATCCTGCTTGACATTTATCACCATTCTCATCTGTACAATGGGAATAGTAATTTCCTGTCCTACCTCCATGTTTATAGTAAACATTAGACTGACAAGTTCTTTAAAAAGGACATAGCACTTTTCAAAAATTAGAAGCCTAATTTTTCAGACTGAAGTCTTGTGTGAAACCTGCCTCTAGCTGATTTACCCCCAGACAGTGTTTGAGAGGTGGGTTGGAAGGATGAGTGATGAGAATGAGCCCAGCCATTCCAGCCTCTCACTGATGGCCATGGCCACATGCAGGGCAATCCGTCGGACTCATTCATATCTGTTCAGTGAGCATCCTGTGGGCCCTTACTCTGTGCCAGGCCCTGGGCGATCTGTGTGGGTCACATTGATAATTAGGAAGTGACCCCTACTCTGAAGGGATACAGATCACTGTGATGCAAGCAGAGTGTGAGAAATGCCATAAGGGAAGCTCAGGCACAGTTCTGGGGGACAGAGGTTAGAGCAGTTCCATTCAGCTTGGGCTTTTATAAGAGGCATGTCACAAGGAGCTGGCTCGTGAGCCAGTAGCGTTCAGGAGCCTGGTAAATAAGCCACCTCCTCCCCAGGGCAAGTCCCTTATTCTGTCCAGTACCATCATATAATTATCACAATCATTTGGTGCAAGCACTGTGCAAAAGGGGACCAGAAATGGATTTTCATAGAACCTATGGTTTTCTTCATCCTTTCGTTAATTAAACATCCTTTTTATATGTCAAACTCTGTACTAGGGGTGGGATGCAGGTATGAAAAGGAGTCGCTGCTTTGGAGTTGGCCCCTCATCTCTTGGGAGAGCTGGACAGTAAGTGGACTGCCCCTGACTGAGGGTGAGGCTCTGTTCCACATAACCTTGGGCGCCAGGGGAGCACAGAGGAGCACCTGCTCCGTCTGGCCTGGGAAGCCATCCCAAAGAAGGTGGTGGCTGAGCTAAGCCTGAGCCACTAGTAGAAATCAGTAGGTGAAGGAGGAGAAAGCAAGGGTGGAAGAGTGTTATAAGCAGAGGGAAAAGCATGTGGGCAGAGAGGCATAGAAGAAGCAGTAGAGCATGTCTAGGCAGCTGCTCGACGTGGCTGGAGAGGAAGGGGCTATGTAGAGAGTAGTACAATTTACCGTGTAAGAAGGGAGGACAGGAAGAGGCTGATTCAGCCAGCAGTCTCCCAGAACCTCTGAGGACAGACCCATGGGTGTGCAGGGCCTCCAGCGCTGATGCTGTGTGAAATAAGGCTTCTCTGCTTCCTGTACCAGGCACCCCCGCAGAGTTCAGCCAGCTCCACATTCAACACTCCAGAGCAAGCTCCATTAGCTGCGTACAGACAGGCCGCCGGCTTCCCCACTGCCCTCTTGCTGCCCAGCTCACGCTGCCCTCTAATTAGTTACTGATCTGGTATTTTGTTGTGGCTATGCTTCCTGATCCTGTATTTAGTTGATTCCCAAGTAATGAAACCAAATTCTGTAAGCCCCCTGCCTTCTGTTTCTGCACCCTCCTCCCTGTTACTTCTGTTCCTGCTACCACCCCACACAGTGGCTCTAACCAAAGACCACTGACAATGTGCCTCGCTCTTGCTAACAGAAAGATGGTGGAGAATTGGGTGGAGGGAGGTTGTTCCTGAAATCAGCCACAGAGTACACCTGTTACCTTTGTCAGGTCAAAGCCCCTGGAGCCCAGATTCCTTCTGTAGTGGTCTGCAGGCCAGCTGTGGCACAAGGGTGATGTGGATCAAAGAGCTGCTCGTGCCCCTGTATCTGTGGGGTGGTCCTGCAGGGAGCCGACGAGAAGTCTGGGAAAAACTACTCCTTCCTTTCTGGTAGTTTTGACCCAGCCATTTAACTCCACTCAGCCTCCACTTCTGTAAAAACCGGCATCCTAGTATGTCTTCCCAGGGCCTTGTGAGGATGCATTGGGATACTCTGTGAAACTTCTTTGAAAACAGTAAAATAGTGTGAGAAGGAGTAATGGGTTTGCTGTCATTCTTAGAAGAGGTTGGGATCCAAGGAAGTCTGGAATGCAGTTTCAGTTGTAGAGAAAGTTACTGTTCTGTCCCTGCCCATGTTTATATTAGATGAAACTGAATGTAAAAGAACATCAGAACAAGGGATTAATATCAGAATATATAAAGAACTCTGATGACTCAAAAACAAAGAAACAAATCACCTGGTCAAAAATGGGCAAAGGGCTTGAACAGACTGTTCTCCAAAGAAGATATACAGATGGCCAGTGAATACATGGAAAGTTATTTGACATCACTAATCATTAGGGAAATACAAATCAAAACCACAGTGAGACACCACTTCACACCTATTTGGGTAGCTATTGTAAATAAACAAACAAACACAGACAATAACAGATGTGGGAGAGGATGTGGAGAAATTAGAACCTTTGTTCATTGCTGATTGTAAAACGGCACAGCCACTGTGGAAAATAGTATGGTGGTTCCTCAAAACATTAAACAGGATTACCTTATGATCTAAAACCTCCACTTCTGGGTATATACTCCACAGAATTGAAAGCAGGGACTCTATAAGAGATATTTTTACACCGTTGTTCATAGCAGCATTATTTATAATAGCCAAAAGGTAGAAACAACTCAAATGACCAGTGGCAGATGAATGGAAAATAAAATGTGGTTTATACATACAATGGAATATCATTCAACCTTTAAAAGGAAGGAAATTCTGACCCATGCTACATGAGTGAACCTTAAGGACATTATGCTAAGTAAAATAAGCTAGGCACAGAAGAGCAAGTACTTATATGATGTACCTAGAGTAGTCAGATTCATAGAGACAGAAAGTAGAATGGTGGTTACCAGAGGCCAGAGGAGGTGGAATGGGGAGTTAATGGATATAAAGTTTCAGGTGAGGAAGAGAAAAAAGTTCTGGAGATGGTTGGTGGTGATGGTTGCGTAACAGTGTAAATATACTTAATGCCACTATTAAAATGGTTAAAATGGTAAATATTATGTATATTTAGTGCAATTTAAAAAATAATTTTAAAAATGGTTAAAATGGTAGATTTTGTGTTATGTATATATTACCACAATTTTTTTAAATACCAGAATTTTAAGAGGAATAGAAACCTCAAATTGGCAGCCGGTGGCCCATTTGGATTAGACATTTAGCATTTCAGCCTCATTGGCTTAGGCCTGGGACTTTATAGGATCCAGGGGTTTATAAGCCTCCCATACCTTTCTTAGTACCTGCTGGTGTAGCTACTACCTCTTCCTCTAAGTTATTGCCCAGGGCCCAGTAGATCTCCCTAGAGGGCAGAGCGAAGGTGATGGCCCCACTGGCCTTACTCTCAGTGGGGCATTTCTGCCCAGGATAGTAATTTTCCATTCTAGTCCTGTCCCAGCTTCTCAGCTGGGCTTGGACCTTCTCTCTTGGTTTAGGGGGAGCACAGCAGGTGTCCTGAGCCTGTGCCAGCAGCAGCTGATCCACCTGCCCCAGAGAGCTGAACACCATGAGGAAATTTCCACAGCTTTTTCGGCCCCTCTGTGTTCTCAGGAGTGACTTATCCTCTGTTCTCTGTAGGTTTTCTTTTCCTCCGCCTGCAGTGTTGCCGTGGATGCCACCCTGAGGCAGAAAGCTGAAAAGTTCCAAGCTCACCTGACCAAGAAGTTTCGGTGGGACTTTGAGGCGGAGCCTGAGGACTGCGCCCCGGTGGTGGTGGAGCTCCCCGAGGGTGTGGGGACTGGCTAACTAGGAATGCTCTGGGCCAGGGAGGCCCCTTCCCACACGGCTGCACTCCTGGCTTCTCCATTCATCCGTCCAGTTGGGACCTGCCGGGGCAGTAGCCCCACCAGGGTCTGCAGAAATAGAGCCAGAATTCCCTCCTTCACAAATAAATAAGTTCCTTCAGTGCCAGAGAGGCTGTACTCCATCCTGAAGACACATTTGTGGGTTCCCCATCAGCCTGGCCTTGGTGCTGACCTAACTGAATTCTAGTTGGGCTCTTGGGAGAGACCTGCCTCAGCAGCAGCCTACTGCTTCCAAAAGGGAAGAAGTTGAGCTTATTCCACAGAATGGTTAGAAAACAGGAAACTTTGGGCTCCCCAGGAGTCTGAGATGTCAGTTGGTGACTTTTTTTTAAAGTTAAACAGAGGATGATAGGGAGATGGGCCAGAATTTCTGCCTGCACCTCATTGAGCAGAAATACATCACACCAAACGTGGGCATGTGACCTCTCTGGAGGCCCAGATTGGAGAGGGCATAACAGAAGACAGTTGGGTTCTGAAGAGTGGTCAGCCTTTGCTTTCTCCATCTAAGTACCTTTCTCCTATCCAGAGGCCCCAGTGAGTAGTCATTCAAGATTATTGTGGTCCCTGACCTCAGGGGCCTTACTAGTGTCACACCCCTCCTATCTGCTCCCTTCTGCAGCCTCAGACCCACAAGTGGAACTTGGCAACAACCCTCTTGGATGGCCCCATTACTCACCAGCGCCACCATGACTGATTGATGACCTGGGATTCAACAGCAAGAGGAAGATTCTTGCTCTGCATGGGCTTCTTTGGCCCTGTTGAAGTTCTGTGCCTTCATTCAGAGCTCCAGAGATGACCTGGTCAGCCTAGATCTTCCCAGTCGTGCTGTGGTGCTGTCAGCCACAGACATGATGATGCTCTGTTTCCCGGGGGTCCTGAGGGTGTGCCTGCACGCACACCATCCCTGGCACCCTGACCTCAAACTGTTGTGTTATGATCAGAGTCCCTGTGCCATTCTTTTCCAGGGCTGTAGCTCACACCAGGTTTCTGAATGAGAATCCCTGCTGGTTAAGACTTTGGTTCCACTTGTTTCCTTGGAGTTGTTTTTCCAAGAGCATAGTGTACATTAAAGTCTTTGAGTTGAGACTAAATCCCCTTGTGTGAGTCCTGCAGTTAATCTTCCCAGTTCCCAGCACAGCTAGACACTGTCCCTAAATGCACATGTCCTCCCTCCCAAGCACCAGGAGACCCTGCTCACCCTCTGCAGGCTCTGGAGGAGACAAGCGACCAGCCATGTCTCCTCTCACCAGTCGGGCTTCCGAGATGGGCACGCCTGAAGGAAGGATCGAGGCCTTGTATCCATAGAGTAACCAGAAGTTTTTCTTCCCAAAGCCCACTCATCAGAATCACCTGGGGAGCTTGTTAAATGTGCAGATTACAAGGGAGTAAAGCCCTGATCCATGCAGCGACATAGACAAACCTTGAAAATACTGTGCTGACTGAAAGAAGCCAGATGCGGAGACCACATGTTATATGAATCCATTCATATGAATCGCCCAGAGTTTACAAATTCATAGAGAGGATTACCATGGGATGGGAGAGTGGGAAATGGGGATTGACTGCTAATGGATACCAGGTTTCTTTTTGAGGTGATGAAAGATTCTGAAAGTAGATGTTGATGGTTGCCTAACCTTATAAATATAGTAAAAACCACCAAAAGTGTACACTTAAAAATGGTGACTTCTGTGGTGTGTAAATTATATCTCAATAATAATTTATGAAAGTTCAGACTCCCAAGTCTCACTCTACTGGAATTCAAAGGCAGTGAATCTGGATGTGGCATGCTCGGTTTTGAGTTACTACCTGGAAGTGACAGCTCTGCAATTTAGTACCTGGAGCTCCACTGGGGCAGAACTTGTCTCCCACTGGCTTTGTCAGGGTGGCACCTGGAAGTTGCATCATGTGACCTTGTTCTCTAAGCCTGTTGGTCTTATGTCTACACAGACACTCCCTCTCCGTGCACCCACACAAGTGTGTTGAAGAAAAGTAGCTACCATTTACTAAGTGCTCTGTTACTTCACTTAATCCTCGCACTAGGTGGTAGGTGCTATTATTATCCCCATTTTACTGATAGGAAAATGGGCTCAGAGAGCTTCAATCATTTTGCTAGGCCCCCCAGCTAGTAAGGACTGAGGACGAGTTAAGCCCAGCCCGCGGTGTCCATAGCACGTGCTCAGCACCGCATTCACTGCTGTGATGTACTTTCCGACCCTTGCATGTCCAGGACAGCCTTCCCCTCTTCCTGCTTCCTGAGATCTAGCCTTGGCCCTCTTGACAGCCAGCTGTGTGACCTTGAGCAAGCCACTTAACATTCTCTGGGTCTCAGTGTACTTGTGTATAAAATAAGAGAGTTTGCTTGAATTGGGGGTTTCTGGCATAGATAACTCCAGGCTCCCTCAGGCTCCCTCCACCCAAAAAATGGACCCTTGTGTTATTTTAAATGTTTTCAAAAGGGAAACTACATTTACACAAGATAATATGGCTGGGCTGACAAGAAATAAAACAATAGATCTCTTGTTTGGGGCTAGAGTGACATCGACTCTGTGTCTTTTCCTGCTTGTCCCAGCTGGCAGTCCTCTATGTGTCTTTGATGAATAAGAAATGTGAAAACAAATTAATTATTACTTAACACTTGCAGTATTTTTGGAAGGCAGAAACCTTCCACACTGAGAACCAGTGGCATTGCTGATCTCTAAGCTCCCTTTCAGTTCCAGCACATCTAAAAGTGAAGCTATTGGCAGGACCTGGCCTGATTTTAAAATCCCCTCAAACACAGGCCTCCTGGGGTCTGGCTCTTATTTGCAAGGCTGCTTTATCCTATTAACAGAATCAGCAGAGGTAGCGACTTTCCAACCCGTTCCGCTGTCCCTGTGACAAACCCTCGCTGCTCTGAGCCCGTTCCATCTAATTTCTCACCACTTGAGCAGTGGAGGAGTCCCCGCCGCTGATTGCCTCTTACCATCGGTAATTATTTTCCCAACGTCACCCCCTTGTAAATACTATTTAATATTCTCAGGGCGCTGTGACATGTTGGTTTCTCCAACTAATCAGACTTCGGCTTGACCAAGATGCCATCCCCTGCTGAAACGGGAGGTGGAAATACAGAGAGAATGCCGTGGCAAAGCCATCACTGAGTCACGTCCTCCAGGTTTAAAGCAGGACGGACTTGAGAAGCTCACCTGAGCTACCTGCTCGTACTGGGGGCTACGTGGTCCTGTAAGTCCGCAGAACCACCCTTGCTGACCATGGCACTTCCTTTCCTCAGAGAATTCACATCTGGCCCAGGCAGGCTTTGTTTTCATTAGACCCTTCTAGATCCTTCTGTTTCTGCAGTATCCAACATCTCCGGTGCTGGCTCATTCTCCTTCCAAACCCTGGGCTCTTGCGTGGACCGGACTCCCTGCTGAGATGGGTTGAGCGCCAAATATAATGTCAGCTGCTCTCTGCTAGGGGGAGGGGAGGAGCGTGTCCAGCCCCTCCTCCACCTGCTAGGCCTCTGTCCTTTGTCCTCAATCTGATGCTCACCTGGGTAGACTCAGTAGATTTCTCTGGAAAATAGAGATCCTCAGGGTCCTCAGGCTGTCAGTTAAAATGCTTGGTGGGAGGAAGACAGGAGGAGTAGGAGGCTTCCCAGCCCAATGTCAGGAGGCCTGTTCGAAAGCAGCTCCACAGGTGTCTCTTCCTTGGGTCTCTCTGCCTTGCTTCTTCCCTCCCCAGATTTCTCCATTTTCCCTCTGTCCGCCTCCAGACGTTTTTACCAGGCTCAAGTCTGGACTCTACACATCTAAGAGGATGCCGACAGATGGAGTTACATCTTGAGGAGAGGGAGCCATTACATGAGAAGCAGTCAGAGAAAAATGTGGGACCTTCACTTAAGAGCAGAGAGGCTGGGAGAGCTGTCTTGAAGGAGGAGGTCTCTCATCCTTCAGAATGCAAAGCCGGGACCCATAGGACAAACTGCAGGGGGCAGAGGTTGACCGTGTTCCTCCTTCACCCAATTAATACTTTCTAAGTACCTGCCCCTGTGAGCTTAGTGGGGCAGGGGAAGGCAATAATCTTAATAAGTAGATTGTTAGAGTGTGTTAGTTCTGAGAAATGCTTTGGAAAAAAATAGAGCAGGATAAGGAAAATTGGGAGTCCCAGCAAGGTAAGAAGATATGTTACAGCTTAAATGAGGTGACATTTGAGCAGAGATTTGGAGGAGGTGAGCAAGCGAGCCCTGTGGGTATCCAGGGGAAGAGTGTTCCAGGCAGAATGAACAGTGAGTGCAAAGGCCATGGGGCAGGAGCATATCTGGTGTGTTAGAGGAACACCACGGGGTCAGCATGGGGTGAGTGGAGTGATCAAAGGATAGAACAGAAGGAGAGAACATCTGGAAGCTTACAGAGGGATCACATTGTACAGAGCTTAGGGGCTATTGTAAGAATGTTGCATTTTACTCAGTGAAATGGGGACCCATTAAAGGGTTTTAAGCAGAAGAGTGACATGATCTGACTTTTGTTTTAACAGGATCACTAGCTGCTGTGTTGGACGCAGACTGCAGGGGGATGGGTGGAAGCAAGGAGACCAGTAAGCCGGCGAGTACAATAACCTAGGTGAGGGCTGATGCAGGCTCGGATTGGAGTGGTATCAGGTGTGCATGCCGAGGCTAGATTCATGACTCAGATCAGGGATGGACTGGATGCCTTTCAAGGGTCTTCTAGCCTGATAACCCCTCCTTCTTTGAAGTCTCAGAATCTTGGCAGAATACTGATTTGTATCCCCTTACTCCACCCCTACCCACGAGTCCCCTGTCTGCGGTCCCATCAGGAATCTGCCAGCCCTGTCTGTTTGCAAATGTCCCTGGTACATTCAGGTAGGTGGGGCAGTGATGAAGGACTCAGGAGGGCTGTCACAGGAGTTCTGGACAGTGTCAGGGAGGCAGGGGACTCCACAGCTCTGCTGAGAAGCAGTGAGTCAGGGCCATGTAGACCGTGGTCGCACCGTCAGCACCCATGTGGCTGTTCTTGCTGCCAGTGGGCAGTGAGGATGGCATACTTGCTGTTCAGGGTTCTGGTGACCAACAGAGATTTGAGGGCTGTTGGTACTAATTTGTCCTGCTCAGGAATCATTCACACACCCACCCCTACCAGGGAATGTCCATGGACTTTGAGGTGAATCATATGAGGCTGCATGGATTGGGGCCTCCCTCCTTGCTGCTGAGCATGTGCTGGGTCCTTTGCCATATTCAGGCAGAGCCCCAGGTCTTCAAGGAAGGTCTGACCATTCTTCACCATACAGACAGTGAAACAAGGCTCAGAGAGGTGAAGCACAGGCTAGCGAGTCTCAGAGTCAGAATTCCAGCCTGTCTGCGTCCAGCACGGCCCTACCACTGCGCTGCTCTCCTTAATAAGGTCGGTTACATAATCTGTGATAATTACCAGTGGATCCAAGGCTGCCAGCCTGATAACTAGCAGTGTCAGACTCTTACAAATGTGGTGGGCAGCCTCCACTGTCCTCTTGCTAATGTTTCCGCCCAGGCTCTTAGTGTCTGTCCCTGGTCTTGGGCACAATGAACCAACCTGGCTTGAATGAGGTGTCACCTGGCTGTGGGAGGAGGGGGAGCAGCATGTAGTCCAGAAGGAGGCTGCTTCTGCCCTCCTTACAGACCACTGAGGGTGCACCTGAGCAGAGGCCTCTTTCACCCTCTCCTACCAGAGTTGCTAATGAGTTTGCAAAAGGTATTTGCTTTAGGGACAGATCCTGTCAGATGTGGGGCCTCTGAGGGGCTGATTCACCCCCTGGACACCCCCTGTGCCTGGACACCCCCTGTGCATTGATAAGCTGTTTTATCCTGAGTCCAGTAGCCGGAATGTGGAGAAAAGGATGGTGAGGGCCTGGAGGGTATCTCCATGGTTTGAGTGGAGAAGGCTGAACTGTCGTTCATTTCTCTTTTGGAAATTGTCTGTTTATAAACATTTTCTCATTCTCTCATTTTTCGTTCTTTTTAAATATGCATTTATCTTACTATAATATATCTTAATATTAGAATATTTCCTCCAGTTTTACTTTTAATTTTATGATGTTTTGAAATGTGTACTTTACTTC